TAAATCTTTCTATATTCGACACTAAGTTGCTCGGGCTCTTTTGATTCTGTTGTTACTGGTGATGCAACATTATTTAGAATGGTGCTGTTCTCATCACTATCGCAATGACAGGCATGCTTAGTTTGGTCATTCTTAGTACCAGAATGACTGCTCCTCCTTTTTTTATTGCAATGTTTGCAAATTTTCTGCAAACGTGAGCGTTTTCTAATGATAAGAGTATTCGACGCATCAGTGTCCATACAAGACTCGCCATTAGAAACTTCTACATTGTACGCAACCTCGGGGACTCCACCCCCGGGATCAGGGGGTTCATTCATTATAATAAAATATATAAAACTTACCTAGGTATAGAAATTAAACTATTACTATTAATAATTAACTACACAAAGTAAAAAAATTACATATATACACAAAACTTCTCTGATTATTATCACTAAAATTAAATAAATGTGATTTAGAGAAAAAAACGCGCGCTTAGCTTTCAAAGTTTCCCGCCTTTTTTTCTATCTATATATATATATATATATATTTGTATATGACATAACATTGATGATGATGATAGACTTGTCATATCAGTATCAGTATATATGTCTTATCTATGGTCAGTATTGTAAACAATATATAACATACTCTGTGATCGTATTTCTCTACCATATTAGTTTAGCTAGTAACGGACAAAAAGGACAAATTATGAATACGGACACTGGCCCGATGTGCTTTGCTATTTTCTTTATGTGTGAAAGTAGCAAGTGAGCTGCTGATATTAAGCCTGTTATCTGTAGGTGGCCAGTAATCCTTAGCGGATCTAAGTGTAAACAATATATAGACATACTCAAAGGACAAATTATGAATACGGACACTGGCCCGATGTGCTTTGCTATTTTCTTTATGTGTGAAAGTAGCAAGTGAGCTGCTGATATTAAGCCTGTTATCTGTAGGTGGCCAGTAATCCTTAGCGGAATGTTATGAAATCTCTAACATTCCTCCGTAACATTGCACTAGTCCTACGATCACTCAATCACTCATTAGATACACACTCAACACTTACACAAACTCATACCCATGCCTCTCAAACAAAACTCAAGCTTTCCTCTTGGCAGGGCCTTTATGAAAATGTCAGCTACCATCGACTCTGTCCACAGATACTTCAGACTGATCACTTTGTTGAGAAGTGCCTCTATTAGTGTGAACACAGTTCTAACATCAATGTGCTTTGACCTCTTATGGCAAGAGTCCTCACTGTTTGCCATAGCTATTGCAGACTGACTATCACTACTCAGCCTAATAGTCTTGTTAACTCCAGTTATTTCTCCAAATAACTGTTTGGTTTCTGCTTTCCCAACTCACAGGTGCAGACCCAAGTTTAAAAATATGACCTGAATAGAACTTGCGGTCTGTTACATCACCCGCATGATTTGCCTCAACAAATCCTTCTAAATCTCTTCCATTTTGTTTAAACACCAGCCCCAGGCTTTTGGTGCCTTTAAGATAGCGAAGAACTCTTTCTAGTGTCTGCCAATCTTGGTCTCCATAGCAACTATTAAACTGACTCAAGTAACTTATTGCAAAAGCTACATCTGGTTTTGTGCAGGCAGACTGCCAAATACATTATAGAACCTACTAATTCTTGATAAGGAATGTTATTAGGAGGCTCATAATTTGTTTCCACCGGTTTGGTCAACCTAACCAGCAATTAGAGATGTAGAAACAGGTTTGCAGTCCTGCATGTTAAACCTGGCTAATATTTTCTCTATATATACATCCTGATCTAGTGGAATGTCATATTCAGTTTGTTATAGACGTATTCCCAGAAACAAATCTGCTTTACCAAGATCACGTATCTCGAAGGTCTCTCTTAACTCCTTCTTGACTTGCTACATCTCTGCTTTATTGTTCCAAAACATCAATAGATCATCAACGTACACCGCTAGGATTATTACCCTGTGTTGACTTCTCCTCATATAAACACATGGTGCGTTGTCTAGCTGAGTAAACTTCAACTGTTTCAGTGCTAAGTCCAACCTTTGATACCAAGCTCTTGGAGCCTGCTTCAAACCGTACCACGACCTTTTCAGTAAGCACACGTAATTCTCTTTTCCCTTCTCCTCAAACCCTTCAGGTTGCTTCATGTACACTGTCTCCTCAATGTACTCACTAAGAAAAGCGGTCTTCACATCCATTTCATCAATTTTCAATTTATCCATTTTCAACAGAAGACGCAATGAACTATGCGTAATCAACAACTCCGCGTTGTTTGAAGCCCCTCGCTACAAGCCTTGCCTTATATCGCTGCTTGTTTCCAGCTTCAGTCTTAAGTTTAAGAACTGCCACTGACACCCTGGCGGAGATAGATGCGCGAGTTTATACTCGCCTTCGGCTACCCCAGGATGATACCGAGCCCCTTGATGCGGGAGAGGTGCGGGAGCAGGAGCGTACAAAGGGGTTTGAGATTTGGCGCGAGCGCTTGGGAGAACCTCAGAACTCGCGCCAACGGATTGTCACTACGTTCCTGCCAAGCTTCGAATCCTGGCTTAGTGCGAGGGGATTTGCGCACGTCACCTTTCCTCTGACGCAGGTACTCACCGGGCACGGATGCTTTGGTGAGTACTTAAATAGAATTGGACGCGAACCGACAACGCAATGCCACCACTGTGGTGGGGACCGGGACTCCGCGCAGGACACGCTTGTTAAGTGCCCCGCGTCGGATCCTGGTTCAAAAGATCGGGCAGGACCTATCTCCACCAGCTAAAGTAGCGGCTGCGCGGGTGGAGAAATCCGCTTGGATGGCACTGGTCTCCTTCTGCGAAGTTGTTATGCTCCAGAAGGAGACCACTGAGCGGGAAAGGGCCAACCCCGCTTGGAGACGAAGACACCGGGTTGGTAGAAATGGTGGTCTCGTGCTGCTACAAGACGGCGAGGGAATCGGGGAAGGTTTAGCCTTCTTCGAGGCGTGCTCACGCGCAGTAGTAAGGGACACCGGTGCGTTCTGTAGGAGATCTCGGAGTCCCTCCAAAGGTTCAGAAGGTGGTCACCGAGGGGGTTTTAGTGGCTACGAACCCCACATAATATGACAGGGTATCTTTTGAAGATTTCCCCCCCGATACCAAAAAAAAGACCTTGCACCCAAAAACTTAGATATTTTCACTAGTATTCACCTAGGCCCATAACCCTTATAAGAAAGATTTATTCCCAATCAATGATGAATTCAATGAAGATAATTAATTAACACATAGAATAATAAAAATATATTTATATTAATATATTTCGACGACCCGAATGGCTTAGACGGTAGTGTACCTGCCTTCTGCGCCAGAGGGTGTGGGTTCGATCCCCACTACTGGAAAATATTGTGTATTGTGTGTGTATTGAAAATAGTGTTTTTCTAGTGTCTGGGTGTTTATTTATGTATAATGTGTATTTATTTACAAAAGAAAAGTATGTCTATCAGTTTTGTAGTACCCATAGTACAAGCGTTGCTTAGTTTGAAACTAGAGAACGTTATGTAAAAAGAATGTGTCCATAAAATAAAAAATATTATATTAACACGAAATTACATAATTACAGAAAGACAGTTTTTTTACAAAGACGTTTTTCTCTCGACTGCGCATGACACACATAAGAACAGTACAAATTTTCAAATTTAAAACCTGTTATCTGTAGGTGGCCAGTAATCCTTAGCGAAATGTTATGAAATCTCTAGGATTAAGTCGGACGCCTGACAACCTTTAAAGTTCTGCAGGGGCATTCGAAAGCGCCTGAGACTGAAAGAGGGATATAAGGAAGCTCCGTAGCAAAGATGTTGTCATAGTCTCCACGCCCGCGATTCCCAGAAATGTGTTTATTTGCGTATCTCGGGCTTGGGTGATGCGGCGAAAAAGATGAATGTTGCTGAGGCTGTCGCAAAATACGGTGAATGCCCAGTAACCTTTGTAAAGAGGGGGAATTTCAAGGAGATAAAACTGGCCTGGTTACGATTGTAGCCAGTGGCCCAGTCATTGCCGCACAATCTGGTCGTCGGTGCGGACCAAGCTGCTGCCACTAGGACCAGGTTTGTTACCTTTTTTGAAAAATAGTAATTTTTTTTTAATTATAAAAATTTAAAAGAAAAGTAACAGCCTATAAATGTCTCACGGCTGGGCAGAGGCCTCCTCTGTAAAGAGAGTGTCAAGGCATAGTCGGGTAAATTGAATTAATTGCGAGCGCCCGGAGGTTGAGGTATCATGGCTCTTAAAAAATATAGTACTTTTAGAAAAACCTCCCAGACCCCAGCGGTGAACTTGGTCTGTGGCTCCTCTGCTTAACACGTTTAGGCCAAGAAGGAGTAGGAAGAGAACCGTGTATCGCAATACCGATACTCCTCTACCCTCGCGCCACTATTGAAACCTACCGAAGGCGGCGCGCACCGAAGATGCGCAATACGGTCCGACGCCACAAAATACCCCCGTCCCCCACCTCATCCCGAAGAGAGAGGGAGACAGTATGGCGCCTCACAGCGCCTAAAAGTGCCACAGAAGGCTGGTTCACTGTCTGGGCGCCTATAGTCACCTATAGGCGCCCAGACAGTGAACCAGCAGGACCCCAACAACCACGGTGCAGCCACCAGCAAACAACCCAGGAAGGGGCTGCTAAGGCGGCCAGCGCTGGCATGGTCCATGCGCTCTAGGTGTAACATCATTTTGGTTTTAGTCGGTGTGAGTTTGACATAACCTATCCTTGCCCCCGCGAAGCCTGGAATGAATATGTTAAGTGTATAATAATAATACTTCATTTTTATTTATAAGCCCAACCAGACGAGAAAACAACTAAAGATAACTAATAATACTTTTAGTTTCTATATCGATATATCGAATTATCGATGGTTTCGAACTTTCGATTGGTGGTTGGGTTGGCCTTGGCCTTGGCTTGGTGGTGGATTTTCGTGTCTATGGTCAAAAAAACCTAAATATCGCGAAGGCGCTAAAATTTACGTTTCTTGGACTATAAATATTTACGAAAACAATATGAGCCAACAAACATTATCTGAAGATCGAGATATTAGCGTGGATGCAACGTTATTTGAATATGATAAAATAATGCCTATACCTGATATTGAAAATGAGCCCCATCTACTAATATCTAAAGTAAGAAGCTTCTATTTTTACTCAAACTAAATCAAAGGTCCCAATTAAATTTGTATATTTGCTATTTGCCTTTAGGTACGTAAACATTATATGGAATATATAATTAAACTTCTATCAGTCAACTACGAGAATAACCAAAGGCTTCTTAATAAAAATATTCGATTACCAAGCGCTATATGGAGGTGTGCGAAAAATATAGAAATGACTGCCGCTCAAACTTGCATGGTAGTACAGCTTTATAGAAAAAATATTGTTACAGTGGTATGTATGATTTAATAATCAGAAAATCATAAATTACTTTATTATGAATTAATCTGCAATTGGTAAATTACAGATTAAAGAGTTAAAACACAATACAAAAGAGGGCAAGCTGTATACGCCATTATATGACTTTGTAAATAAACCCCCAGAAAACGAGAAAAAAGTACAAACTTCATTAAGCAAATCAAGTGATTGCACATGTCAATGTGTTTGCAATCAAAGAAAAAAACGGTGTAAGGATTCAGTGTCATCTAAAGAATGCAGAACAGATTATGTTACTTCTACAACTAGTAATATAAATACTGAAAGTTGTATAAAAGGTAAAAATTCTACCAATCACCTCTTGCATTCAGTTGTTGAAGGTAAAGATATTATAAATAAAATACACTCAGATTTCCCTCCGATAATGTCTGTTGAATCACAAGAGTCTGATTTGTTAATGCAACAATTAGAGATGTTGTTTCAAGGGGACTGTAATGATGATGACATTTTTGAGCACTCAATTTGTGATATTCCTAACACCTCAATCCATGAAATGAGCACTAATAATTTGCAAAAAGAACATATTGAAAAAACTATGGACATTGGTAATCAAAATTTGGCTATTGAAAATTCTGAGCAGCAATCTTTTGATGAAAGACTAGCATCATTAGCTGGACAATTGGTAAATCCTAATGATAACAATTTAAAAAAGCCCATCACTCAGAATAAGAGGAGAAGTGATTATAGTAAATGGCTATGTGAGGAATATTTCTTGAAGTTAAAACTATTTGATATATTGGATCAATTAAGAGATGGCAATAGGGCAAAGCTTTCAAGGGTAAATCAATAGTAGTTACTTGTTAAATGCATATTTGATTAAAGAGTGCAAAGATAATTATGTCTTTATCATTTTTCAGATAAAAGTAATGTTGATTGATTTATTTGGAGAAGATAGTGATGACGAGGGAGTAATGTCACCTTTGGACGAAACACCAAATTTCATAAGAAGCTGCAAAGAGCGCATTGCTCCATGGGTGGTTAGGATGTTGACTCCGTTTTACATTAAAGGCAGGATAAAAGGAAAAGCACTATTTAAATCTGTGGCTAAACATTTAATAAGACTCATATATCAATGCAGTAAATATCCAAGTAGGTATATTTTCTGTTAGCTACAAATTTATCTGAACCGAATTGGCAGATATAAAATAAAAATACTGTTTTATAAAATTACACAAATCTTTTATACTGGTGACCAGGAAAGTCAATAAGGCATACATTAAAGAATCATAACAAAAGATAAAAATGCTCAAATTGTTTACTAGGTATTCATAACACATTTTTACATTTCAGGTGAATATGAAGTTAAGAGTTTTGTAAGTGATTTTCTTGAAAGCCACAAAATAATAAGATGTGAGGCAGACTTTAAACAATTCCGTATTGATAATATTTGACAGCAAATTCAAGCAAGTTCTTAACACAGTCTTTTATACTCAGCGATTACTTTTTATGGTATGCATATGTGCTGTTACCATTTGCCACAATTTCAAACTATGTTTTTGTGACAAACCTTACTTTTACACAGGTCACATAATTTTTTTTATTACTTATTAAGAGACTAGACTTCTTATTAAACATATAAAAAGGAACAGTTGTTCCCAATGATTTTTTTATACTATGAATATGTTGTTAACCCACCCAAAGTGAAGCCACGAAAATGTGCAGGGCAGTGAGTAAGAAAGACCTGGTGTTTTAGAATAATAAAATGCCGTCATGTGTTGTTAAAGATGTATAGCTGCCAACTACTCTTCTAAAGTTAACAAAATTCAAAGGATTTCATATCATGTACATAACGCAATATATCTTTGATTTAATACTTTAGTTCAATTATTTTTCTATTTTAATTTGTCCAGGTTAGAAAACAGAAAGAGACAATAAATAGATTTTGTAAAAGGTCGAGAAAGACATGCACAGGACTGGACATACATTTACAAGTCCATAGATTAACATGCCATGATTGGTTTCCCAAGTGGATTTTTTTACATTTAAGCTAAAGTGACAAGCACTAACCGTCCTCTTTTTTAAACGGTTTTATTTAGCTCGACCCGTACGGAATTTGTTTGTTTGGGTCAAAATTAGAAATTGAAATTTAAGCACCTTGTCGTTGTCAGATTGATCTGAAATTTGGTATACACATTTAATTTAGATGACAACACAATATTAACAAAAAAAAAAAAAACAATAAAACCGTTTAACTTAAAAGTTTTTAAACGGTTTTATTTCTTATTACTTTAATTAGCTATCCTTTTTCTACTATTCCAATATGTGTGAGAAAGTTATTATGAATGAAACATGAATGTGCCGACTACTGTCAGTGTTACTGGAATCACCATTGATTTATTAAGTGTTTAGCATATCTATAGTATGTCTGTTTAAAATATCATTGTTTTCCATTGTCTTTTTTTTCTCAAGAGCCTAAACTAAAATACATAACTGCTCATAAATGTAAGAACAAAACATAAAATAAAGTATAAGGAATTAAAATATTTTTACAGTATATACTAAAAGCAAGGCTTAATTTATTCAGATCCTTTGGTTTTTATTATATTTTGCATTTCATAATGTAAGAAGAGTAAACAAGGTCTCTTGTAAAAAATGTAGAGGTGTTTAATTTTATTCATTTTTCATTACATTTCTTTTTATTTTGCATATCTACATCATTGCTTGATTTCCTTTTTTCAACTTTAAGCCATGAGGTAATGGCAGATTGTGACTTTTTGTTTTCGGTCAATATCCTTTTATTACACTCATGTGACTTATTACGTGAATTGTTGACAGCAATTGAAACCTGGTGCCATTCTAATAGTCTTGATGGTTTCAAATATGAAAGGGCCATATATGGGTTCACATTTTCTATGTCAAGCCATGCCTAAAAATCATAATTTTTATTAATACTGTACACAACTTTATAATGCTTTCCTAACACAAACAAGTTTCTGGAATCTAACATAATGCTATAAAATTTAAAGACAGGAGTAAAGTACATAAACTAGTGTTGTATTGATCAGACCATTGATTTGATTTATTTTATTAAATTACAATTGACTGTGGTAGGGCCACACAATGCTGTAACTGTTACACGAATGAAGAAGTAAAGTAGAAGTGTTACACTTCTACATTTCGTTTGTTGAGTGAGGAAGCCAGGGCCCACTTTATTTAAAGGTGGCAATGCTTCTGCAACCCTACGGGTATTACAAATGTCCATGGGCCGCGGTTATCACTTAACATCAGGTGAACCGCCAGCTCGTTTGCAACTTGGTCACATAAAAAAAAATCAAGAAATTATATGACCGACATTCATCTGCCCCCGCGGCCTCACCACCACTTCATCAGCGGTGCAGCCCTGCCAAGTGTGGCGGAGAATAGGGAGCGCGGCCAAACGCAATACCGACACTCATCTTCCCCCGCGAATCCTCTTCGGTAGCAGAAGTCAGTAAAAGTGGCTCCTCCTTTACCACCCTCGGCCTGTCCCTTGCAGCCTCCCGCACGCAATTACGGTGGTCCCAAGTATCTTGTATTAACTGATGTTTTTGCTTTCAGTCCCAAGACTATTAAAGCTTCATCTGACGCAGAACCGGTAGGCTAGTCAGAACACACGGGTTTGAGGCCCTCTTCTAAATGAAAATTTCTCGATAAATGCGTTAAGTTTCCCGCCTATCTATAATCACGATAAACGTGTTAACCCTGAAAGTTTCACTCTCAGTCATTGTATTTGTAATACCTTCTTCAAATATTTTGTCTTTTATTTTAATTTTCGGTTGTCTTTTTCCGATCACTGTAGTATATTGTTTCTATAAGCTTAATTCCATCTCCTTGTAAATTTCCTGTAGCATTATGAAAAAGCGAAAACTTTTGTATAGGATTCAGCAACCGCAGTTGCCATTAAATCAAATGAATGGGCAGAACAAGGCACGTAAACAGCTAATTTATGCCTGCAAGACAAAAATTTTTGAGCCAAATTTGCCGCCCCCTAAAATCTGCCGCCCTATCTCTAACCTCTAGCCCAGAGTTCCCCAAAATTTTTGTGTCGTAGACCCCTTGCCATGTTTTTCCGTGTTGGGTAGACACCCTACTTACCTGATATTGATTTCCTGTAAATTTCTAACTGTAGTGAAGTTTAGTGTTAAAAACTTAAAGTAAAACACATGTTAATTTATACATTTATTAATTGAATTTAAATTAAAACTACTCAAAATAAAATTTTGTATCTGTTATGTAAAATATACGTAACATTAAATAAACATAAAATAAACATAAGCAATAAGTCAATATTTTAGTGAGAAGGATGGACCTGATGCTTTAATAATAAATTATCAACATTTGGCGTCAATTTTGTAAGGGTTAATCTTAAATCTCCTCGGCTAATGATTTCCAGTGTTTCTTATTTTTCGTTAGGCGATTGGTAACAGCGCTGAACCCCCTTTCCACTAGGTATGACGATGGAAAGAAAATTAAAAATTTCCTCGCTATATTCCATAATACTGGACAAGTAACGGGTATGTTGTTTTGCAGACAGAATTGCTGATATCAGTTTTTAAACTGAACCTTAAGTTCTTCGTTTGTACTTAGTTCAGTCAATTCCTCTTGTATTATGACATTCGTTTCTTCTATGTCACCATATGGATTAATATGACGGTTAACGGTTTTATTACGATTAATTGGACGGTGGTATTACCATAGTCAAAATATCCTCAAACCTAGATTAAAAATCTGAATAGAGGGCATTTAAATGTTGAACGTAAGTTGAAACGTCGTCTTCTTGGCAGCTTGTCTGTGACAAATTGGGGAACTGAGAAAATTCGCCTCGTCCAATACTTTGCTTCATTAATTTAACTCTGGCAAGAAACGCTGATAAGATGGACTTTGTTTTAATCAAATTTAAACTGTCGCCTTGTAATTGCAAATTAACCATATTAAATTTTGTAAACAAATCTGTTAGATAGGTGATGTCTGTTTTTCTCTTCATTAAATTTTCTTTTAAAATTTTATCTTTAGTATCCAGAAATTCTAAAATAGTCTCAAAAAGTGCCAAAAATCTTGTCAAACATAAGCCTTTCGACAGCCAGCGTACTTCAGTGTGAAGGAGTAATTGATGAAAGTGTTCGTCACTTTCTTCACACAACTGCGCAAATAACCGCGTATTCAACGCGTTGCTGAAGTGATTCTTGCAATCTAACACTCAAATGTTGTCAACTAAATGTTGTCGATGGATGACTCAATGTATTGCTAACACCCCTGACACATTTTGTTTTAAACAGCTTATAAATCCACGATAACGTCCAACCATGGCAGGTGCTCCATCTGTAGCTACTGATATTATATTTGATAAAGGAATTGCTTTTTCAATGAAGTAATCCTTCAAAACATGAAATATTGATTCACCTTTAGTGTCGGTTATCAAAGTTCTTGCGAAGAGCAATTCTTCGTAGATTTCTTGATTCATAATAAAACGAACATATGCCAATAATAATGCTGCATTATCAGGTAAAGTTGACTCGTCCAGTTGTATAGAGAAATGGGTCGTTTGCAAATAGTTACATAAGAAGCTTTCAATATCGTTCTCGATTATTCTTATATTTAGCTGAAACAATGCTATCGTTCTCGATTATTCTTATATTTAGCTGAAACAATGCTGTGTCACCTAAAAATTAATTTTTGTATTTGTATTTTTGCTTGTTATTCTTTAATTTTTTTTTCCTTAACTTTACTGAAATTATTTGCTGTTAAATATTTTTGCATTATTGTCTCGATTATTCTTGTATTTAGCTGAAACAATGCTGTGTCACCTAATAAGGTACATACATCAGAATTTTTTTTTTGTAATCTTATTGTTTAAACGTGAAATGCATGTACTGCTGGTGTCCTTTAAATAAATAAATAAATAAATAAATATCAGAACTCATTTCATCAATACGTCTTTCAACAGTATTGTTGCTTAAGGGAATTATTTTAATGATATCAGATGCAGGTTTGTGTAAAACAGTTTTTAAAACCTCTTCAACGACTGGCAAAATTAACTTCTCTCCGATAGTTTGCGGTTTTCCGGATTTTGCTATAAGTAACGAGATATTATAAGACGCCCGCAAACCATCATCATTTCTTTGTGACGTCGAAGCGAACATTCTGTCCAGTGTAGGTCTCTTCTGAAGTTTATCTTTGAGTGTTTGAAAGTATTTCAAATCTTTCTCTGTTTTATCAGGGTGGCGTCTTCTCGGATGATCTTGCAGTTTAAGTGGTTTCATAGCGTCATTGCCCAAAACTTTGTTGCATAAAAGGCACATAGGCGATTGTTTCTCCGGCAATGATGGAATGATGCCAAATTTCAAATAATCAACACTGTACTGTCTATATTTCTTTTTAGATTCGGACATGGAATCAGTCATCTGTGGGCGAAATTAAATTATTTAAATAAGACAGAAAATCCAGCAGCTGTATATTAAAAATATTTTTTGATTTTTCCGAAAACATTCCATAATTCGAACATCTTGCAACAATTAGCTCGAATTACGGAGATTGCACTGTAATTATAATACCGATTGGTAAAACTTTCAAAAAGAAACTATTGAGGAGTACTCGTATAATTTTGCATGCTTGAATATTAAACTACTAATAACTAAAGTCATGATTGGCGTAATTTATCTATCTTTGCTAACTACGAGTACAAAACTAAAATGTTATAAAAAATAATGTACTTACTTTTCTCCAGCACTCTCAAACAAAATAAAACTGACTCACTATAATTTGTGTGATATACTATCTGTTTATAGTTTTTAAAATATTTTCTTAGCACTTTCCTTTTCAAGATTCAGGAAACGAATTAACATATTTGTCCCACATTCGTATTTATAGAGTGACGAATTGAACATTGACAGTCAGTGCAAGGTAGCGAAGCTCTGAGACTGCGACTCTCAGGTTTTTACAAGTTCAAAATGTATTGCGACCACAAAGCGAATACCAACATCCTACAACTTACACAATTTTATAAACATACTAGCTGACCGGCCAAACGTTGTTTTGCCATATAAATAATTTATAGGGAATTTTTGAATATGAACACATAGAAAAAGAACAGGTAAGAACAGTATGTATGGGAAAATAAAATTGTTGCTATTTCGATTACAAATTTTCCATAATTTCTCATCGTTTAAACCTTCCCTGGACTGCCACAAATATTTCGAAACCAAAATTAGCCAAATCGGTCCAGCCGTTCTCGGGTTTTAGCGAGACTAACGAACAGCAATTCATTTTCCTAAATCCTAATCCTAAATCCAGATTCCTCTAGAAATAATTTATATGGCAAAACAACGTTTGCGTGATCAGCTAGTAAGATATAATAATTTTTTTACTTCATAGGTACTTTTATAAATAATGTATATGTTTTGATATTATAAGATAGTATGATGTAAGTAAATAGGTACTATCAGTATATGTGTTGAGATCCACTAACGTGGACCCCCATTTTCATTTCATGGACCCCCAAATTTTTTTTCGCTGACGTAGACCCCTTGCAACCTGCAACCGTCATAGACCCCTAGGGGACGATATAGACCACTTTGGGAATCACTGCTCTAGCCTATTTAGTCTGCTGGTACATCAGCCATTGGCAACGGCTCTCTCTGCTGGGTTCATGAGCGCCTAACTAAATCCAAATCGGATCTAATTTCTTCGGCGAGTGTCATGATTTTTGCGACGAGTTCTTCCCTGGTGTTTGGAACAATAACTAAATATAATACTATAATAAATACTTTCAGTTTCACTTTAAATCAGGCGAGCGAGGCGGCTACGCTACTACACTACCACGACCGATCCACGGCGATAGATTTGCAGCGCCATTGCAAAAAACCATGCACGAAGTGTATGTCAGCAATATTTTGAGTTGAATATTAACGATGTGCTATATTTTATCACACTTTCAAAGATTAACGCGAACGCAGCTCGTAAAAAGGACGGACGGTAAAGCCCGATTTACACTCGTCAAGCGTTTATGTAATTACTTTTAGCCCGATTTACATTGGTCAAGTACAGTGGTCAGTGGCGGGCACCGGAAAAGTGGGTGTGTGCACTAAACCAAGTCCAAGTCTATCGAAATGAAAGAGCAACGTCAAAAAATACTTGCAATTTTGTTGCCTGTTGCCGGCCACTGTACTAATTTCACTTTTAACACAAGTAGGCAAGTGACGAGCAAAGTGCTAAATGCACCAAACTTAAATTGCATCAAAAAATAGAAAGCTATTCTATTATTTGCAAGGAAGCTTGCTTTAATAATATTGTCTGGGCCCGGGGCGGATTTGGGTTTTAAATTATTATTAATGTCTTGGACCTCTTCGGGGGTCACTGAATTTAAAGGATCGCCTTCCGGTGGAAGCGCAGCCCTAGTTTCGATTATGCGGTCCACCTCCGTTAGGTGGACTGTATCGGTGTGTTCGCGCGATGACGTACATTGCTGCTCTAGGTTGTCCACAAGGCATTCGGCTTTTTCGGAGTCATCTAATACATCCGGGCTACTGAAGCGCTATTAGGTCTAACTAACGGCTTTAGAGATTCGCGGGGGTCTGCCTTCAGACTGCGGGCCACCAGCCAGTAGACGGTGTGCGAGTCCTCTAGGAGAGTGTCCCACGCGGTATGTCGGTGTTCCGATACGCGATCTTTGACTTCTAGCTGAAGGTGGTCCCAAGTTCAAAGCTTTATTGAGTGTGTATCTTTTTCCAATTTTAATTTTTTAATCAATTTATTATTTTGTTTTTATTTCATAAAATGTGTAAAATAAACAATTTTTTTTTATGCGAAAAGTTACCAAACGAGCAGTCGGGTCACCTGATGTTAAGTGAATACCGCCGCCCATGGACATCAACCCTAGGATTACAGATGCGTTGACAACCTTTTGAAAATTGGGCTCCGGCTACCTCACTCACCGGACGAAACGCGAAAGTATTTGTCATACTTCCACTTTACGCTGGTCTTCTGTGAGGTCGTGGTACTTACCCGGACGGGCCTGCCCATTCCTGCAACAGCCGAGGCTGCTGCGTGGCCCTACTACAATTGAAAAAATTATAAAATAATTATTTTTCTTGTTCATAAAAGATTAATTTTCGTTTTAGGGTGAAAAATTAAATATTTTAATAAAAAAAATTAAAAACATTATACAATATAAGACTTGTTAAAAATTTAAAATAATGTAGAGTTGGCTTATTTTGTGATACATTGTTCTACAACTGTTGCGTTCTATGTTCAGAAAATAAAATAATATTTCGTTGTAGGTATCTATAAAAATAAAAAATCAACAAAAATTAAATGTTAAGTAAATAAAAAATACCTACAAAAAAGAAAATCACCAAAAAATATAACAAAGAAATGTAGGGATTTGAACGCAATCCCTATAGTATGATGGCCCACTGTATGTATAGGACTGATAAACCTTATCAACCACAATATAAGATATTGAAATTACGCTTTAGTTGATATACAAATAATTAAAAATACGAAATATGTGAATATACATTTTTTAGTTTCGTGTTTTTGAAAGATCCAATAACATTAAATAAATCAGGAACATATTTCGTAACGGTGACAGGAGGACGAGCGGCATAGGTCCATCTAGCAACGCGCCTCAGCGCTCTCTGTTCAACGTGTGGAAATGGAAGAGAACCGAAACAACGCCGCGGTAGCGCGATGTTTTGGTCGTCGCGTTCAAATTAATTTTAATGTATTAAATAAATATTTACAAATATCATACTTCAATCAACAAAGTAAGACAACAATCCCTGTTATTAAAATATTCTACACCACAGATATTAATTTCATTAAGATTTGTTGATGTATTACATTCATTTTTGGATTTGAATTTCTCTTTTAGAGGTAGTTTCATGATTTTTTTCTATCGAGAATATGTTTTGAAAACAATGTTCCATTAGAATGTAAGATCAAGATTAACATAATTTTTTTTCTGCTATAAAATGTTGAGATTTTGCTAAAAAATCTTTTGAAAACCCTATTTTTACTGCATACAGCGCCTTAATGCCTCCATCCTGTGTCACTATTTCTATAAATGTGATAAAATGCTAATAGCAAATATTAAATTGTTATTTGAATACTAGTCTGCTGCTAAAGATTATAAATAAATATTTAAATATAAATATTTTAGGACACATTTGTACACAACATTTTCTAGTCCCAAACTAAGCAAAGCTTGTACTATGGGTACTTGAAAACTGATAAACATACTTAAACATACTTTTTCTTTTCTAAATAAATACATATTATACATATAGAAACACCCAGACACTAGAAAAACATCATGTTCATCACACAATATTTTTCCAGTAGTGGGGATCGTACCCACACCCTCTGGCGCCGGAGGCAGGTACACTACCCACTACGCCATTTGGGTCGTCAAATTATATTGAACTAGTAACATCTGTGAAGGATACACATGTTTATGTTTAGAATCACTTGGATATTATGAAGTTGGTGTAAAATACATAAAGCTGTCTCTAATAATTCAAGTTACATTAAAAGTAGTGAATAAGATTAAGAAATTAATAAAAGTTTATACATACCTCGATTTGCATTTCTGTATTTAAAATGGCAGGCATTCTATGATGAAGCCAATCCAGTGTGCTGTTTGAATCCATTGTTATAATAGAATATGAATACATAATGCAATCATTATCTTGCCATATATTGTATAATCCAGCCATATATAAAAGTCTTACACCTTTCCATCCACTATTGTCATCATAACTAATGTCCCATGAATCAGGTTCATCAATCTGAGGTTAAGTTTATTTTATTAAGTTGGGCAAAAGGCATGCTAAAAATCTGGTTTTATAGATAAACTTTTCATTAATTAATTTAGATCCATGAAATAAAAAATTCTGGTAGTCCGTCGGTAAACAATATGTACAAAAATAAAGTACATATAAAAATAGCCTTCACACAGATATGCTTTATAATTCAGTTCAGTTATTATTATAAAGCGAGAGCTATAAGTCAAATACAAGGTTGTGAAAAGAAAATGATCTAAATATATTGTTATTCTGAAGAAATATCTTAATAAACAAAGTTTGTGGCATAATCCATATACTACATTAAGTGACAACTGCTCTTATTATTAACTATGGTATAGCTATTAATTAAAATCCTGTGATATATATAATCCTGTAGCATAAAGCCAGCTACATTATTACAAACTATATTAACATTTTTGATACATGTTATAGTGTTTAGGTTTTGTCTTGTAGTAATCTAAGTTTACCTTTATATGCATATCTTGAGTTGCATAGATATAATATGGTTTTTTCAAGTTTGACTTTTTGGTGGTTTGCCATTCATAATAACCTTCCGCCACGATTATGCATCTTCCACCATTTAATAATATTGGGTGATATAGTTTAGAACTCCTAATGTTCTCAAAACGACAATTATTTGTACTTAGCGAGTGCGTGCGATAGTCACCCTAAAATTTCATAACAACAATTTATAGTTTTATTAAGGTACACATGTAAAAGGTATAACTTTGAATCGAGTATGTATCATCTTTACTATAAGTGATATTGTCAGTATACCTTATGCCATGGTGGTATAATTCCCCACATCATCGGTTTTAAAACCCGATTGCTTTCTGAAGATTTATATTTACTCGATGAAATTAAAACAGGAGTAACTTCGCTCGGTGCAATATTATAGGAAGGAACATATTCTTTTCCATCATTGTATTCATGTAGCCATTCAGGTTTAATAAAACAATCTCCATTTTTTGGTTTATAGCTACAAGCACATCGTAATTGTTCTTGATTTAGTGATCTGCAATAGGTAAAAGTTTCGTTAATGGTTTACAAATAACATTAATCAATCAAGTATCAATTTACATACAATCCGGTACGACCGCACATATTTATAAAAATAAAAGAAATTCAAACGCAAATTATTTAAATACAACTTTTTCCCGCGCCTTCTTGAAATTGTAGTAAAATAAAAACTAAAATATGTTCTGTTCTGTCACTCCAAGCATCCAGTGCTGAATTTAGATATGATGAAAAAGATAGTACAAAAAATAAAAAAGAATAGTATAAAGAACATTATAGTGCACTTTATTTTAATTTAATTAGTTTTGAGTAAATTTATGACTGTAATCATTAATTTTACTCCTCTTTGAAGTTTATCAGTTCCACTCCGTATTAGTTTGAACCTAAGTCATTAGTACCCAATGGCTTTCCCCTATATTATAGTTTAATCTGATCAACATAACAAGGGGGATGAAACTTCTGTTGATTGGTAATCTCAGATTATACATACTCTTTTGATATCAACTCTGACCTGTTTGGTTTATGTATTATGTTTGAATTACTTTAAATTAAATTTGGAATGTTAGTTTTATTTGTTCAGACTGAATTGTGTCATGTTTGATAGATTCCGTAAAAATCGTTTGAAGATGTAACATGTATAGCTATCTGACATAACTCCTGTATTTTATATAAATTTCATAATGAATTGTTTGGTCTAAAATAAGTTCAAAATGTTTAAGTTGAAATAAACAATTTTTCTATCAGTCCTTAAGTGTCTTTTCGGTTTGAGAGAGATCCCATTAGCCACATCCACCATTCAAGAGGTTATGGGCCCAGAAATATCTATATTTTTGGAGATTTTCCAGTTTTTGAGCAAAAGTGACAGCTGCAAAGAAATTTTCAAAGATGGACAAGCCCATCAAATCATTGTTAGAAAAAGATTCAAGACTGGAAACAAAAGAGGATTTTGAAAATATCTGCAGCGGATTTTGAAAATATTTTGAAAAATAACGAGTAGACTGCGACCACGAGTGAAGATTTATTATCCATGAATAAAATGGGAGGCATGGTGATGAAGAAGAAATAATTGAAAAAAGAAAGAATTCAAAAGGGGGCAATTGAAAAAAAAAAAACAATTGACGTTGTTGGGAATGAGGAGACTGCAGAAACAAATGAAGTAGTTTGTGAGGAAACAGTTGAAGATGTGAGGAGTGTGAATTTTGTTCATAATCAGGATGAAGAAGTTGTAGAGAATAAAGGAGATTTTGATGGTTTTTTGGATGCGAGTGGAGATACAGGAGGAGGTTGTTGCAGAGGGTGCGAGTCCAAGGAGCGATCCACCGAGAAGTAGGTTTTTATGAAGAGGAGATGGAGGTTGTTGCGGAGGGTGTGATTCCAGGGAGGGATCCACCGAGAAATAGGTGTTTGTGAAGAGGAGACGGAGGTTGTTGCGGAGGGTGTGAGTCCAGGGAGGGATCCACCGAGAAATAGGTCTTTGTGAAGAGGAGATGGAGGTTGTTGCGGAGGGTGTGAGTCCAGGGAGGGATGCACCGAGAAATAAGTCTTTATGGACGGGAAGACGGAGGTTGTTGCGGAGTTTGTGGGTCCAGTGAGGGATCCACCGATAAATAGGTCTTTACCTGAGAGGTATAAGGATTGTTGTGGATTTTTTGGCTGTGTGTACTTTTACGTTTGGGGAGGCGGTTGGCTCTGGTGAGACGGAGCGATGGTTGATGGCTGTGGAGGAGGAGAGGTTTTTCTTTGGAGAGAAATGGCGCGTGGGAGTTGGTTTTTGAAAAAGAGGCTGAAGGGGAAGATTTGTGGCCTGAAGAAGTCTTTACGATCTAAAACAAGCTGCTTTAATGTGGCACATTTGTGTTACTTGTCTTGATAGACGTTATTAAGAAATTTAAGTATTTTAATTCTAAACATTTGTGTAGGTAGTGGTAATGTAAGGGGGTGTTAATAATAGAGATTCACGCAGTGGAAGCGTGTGTATGAGATTGTAGTAAGGGAAAAAATCGGATTTCAAAACGGAATTTTTCAGAGAAACTTTTTACAGAATTTTTGATATCTCTTCCTTTATAATGTATTGTTTTTCTTGTAGTTTTGTGGTTTTTGTTGGGAGTGTGTTATTGTTGTTTTATGGTTTGTTGATAATTTCTAAATTTTTTGGGTTTTCTTTACTTGTCTGGTGTTGATGTATATCTGAGATTAAGGGGGTGTGTTGATTGGTAATCTCAGGTTATACATACTCTTTTGATGTCAACTCTGACCTGTTTGGTTTATGTATTATGTTTGAATTACTTTAAGTTAAATTTGGAATGTTAGTTTTATTTGTTCAGACTGAATTGTGTCATGTTTGATAGATTCCGTAAAAATCGTTTGAAGATGTAACATGTATAGCTATCTGACATAACTCCTGTATTTTACATAAATTTCATAATGAATTGTTTGGTCTAAAATAAGTTCAAAATGTTTAAGTTGAAATAAACAGTTTTCCTATCAGTCCTTAAGTGTCTTTTCGGTTTGAGAGAGATCCCATTAGCCACATCCACCATTCAAGAACTTCTCCACATTAACAAAATTCTTACAAACTAACGCCACCTAGAATGAGGATGGTAGTTTTATAATGAATTACCAACTAAATGCCAAAAAAGGGCAGTATTACGGCAAAGCAAATTGTAGTTTTGGATGTATATATTATGGATTCAAATTTTAAACATTATTTATGGCTGGTAAATTGAATGATTAATTAAAATAAAAGCAAAATGAGATAATCATATGAGTTGTCTTTTCAGTGACGACATTAAAAACGAGGGAAATCTTAATTGTCGTGTTTTGTGGTAGTGTTGCACAAACATCGATTGTTTGACTATCGATAGTTGACCTCGATAACTATTCAGCATATCGATTGTACTATCGATAATATCGTCTAAGTCAATATTGTCGATACTACTGATAGTATCGATGGCTCGCCAAGTGCCAATACTATTGATAACAGATTGTAATACTATCGATAGCCTCGATAGCTTTGTAATATCGATGATTGAAAGTACAAAATCATCGATATTATCGATACGTTTGTACTATCGATAGCCAGTAAAAGGCTATTGAAAGTACAAAATCATTGATATTATCGATAGTTTTTGTCAAAAGTTAAAGGCAATTGCAATACTATCGATACTATCGCATGCATTACTATCGATAGTATTGCTGTTATCAATAGTATTGGTACTTGGAGAGCCATCGATACTATCGGTAGTATTGCCACGTGACAATACTATCGATAGACTACCGATATTGCTTATAACTTAACTATCGATCGATTGTCTATCGATAGCAGACTATCGATATGCATCACTCGTTTGTGGTGTTAGTGTCTATTTGTATAATGTATACTGTAGAATCTATGGTGGGAGAGTCACTCATCAATCAACACTAGAGATGGGTTGTATCGCTTTTTCTGAGTACCGTATCTGAATCAGATTTCGATTTCAAATATCAGATTTCGAAACTATGTATTTTAATATCTAGATATTTTACGGTCCCGTATCCACCTTGAATTCTAAAAAAAAAAAAAATTAAATTAAATAATAATAAAAAAATAAATATAAATTGTGAAGGGGTATTTAAAAGTTGATTCATTTCATTCATTCATTCATTCGACGATCATTATACCTATACATAACTAAAGCTATTACCAGTGATACCAACTGTTCAAAAAGAATACTTCTAAATAAATTCGAAAACCCACTAAAATTGACTAAATTCAAAAACCTTACTGAATTTAAAATCACACTTTTTTTATACTCTTAAGGTAAAATTAAAACATTACCTGATTAAATTAAAAATTTCATTAAAAATAGAAATTGAAGTAATATAAAAATGATTTTTTTTTTTTGAAGGTGGAATTTTTTTTACTAAAAGACAATCTTTATTTCAACATCTTATATATCGCTTAATAATTGAGTTTAACATATTCTTAGAACACGCAATCATGAGTGACAATATTTTTATAATTTGTGTAAGAAATAATACATTCAGTATTATAACTTAGGGCGGAAGAATTTAAAATATATACACAAAGCACATAAGCAGCACAGCACTATTAAATTATATTTTTCTTTTTGTGTAGTTTTATTTTTTTTCCAAAAATATGAATAAAATTTAACGAATAAAAATATTCACAAAAAATTTACCTCCTAAAAAATTTCCATTTATATTTTTCTTCCTTAATTTAGGCAGAAAATTCTTAAGTAGTAAGTTGGCATCCCTTACTATTACGTGCTAGGTACCAATGCAATCCAGCTCAAGGTTAAACAAAATTTAAAGACATCGTTAATACCGTAATTCGTATTTAAATGCAACTAAAAATGTTTTTTTCCATGCTGTTAAGATTCAAAATTACTTAACTGCGCGCTTTGTCGCCCGTTACGGCTCAAGGCTAAACAAAACAATAAAAATATACTTAATAATATCGTTGCAGTAATCGTTGATACCATGATTAGTATTTAATTGAAACGGATCTTATTTGCATCGTGTTAAGATTCAAAATTACTTAACTTATTCAAAATATCTGTTTAAAAATCTGATATTGTGCCTTGCTTGCCGTACTGCTCTAACTAGTGAGTATTTATATCTCACGCGCTCTGTCGCTCGATATCTGATATCGTGCATTGCTTGCCGTCCCGCTCTAACTAGTGAGTATTTATATCTCACGCGCTTTGTCGCTCGATATCTGATATCGTGCATTGCTTGCCGTCCCGCTCTAACTAGTGAGTATTTATATCTCACGCGCTCTGTCGCTCGATATCTGATATCGTGCATTGCTTGCCGTCCCGCTCTAACTAGTGAGTATTTGTATCTCACGCGCTTTGTCTCTCGATATCTGATATCGTGCATTGCTTGCCGTCCCGCTCTAACTAGTGAGTATTTGTATCTCACGCGCTTTGTCTCTCGAAATCTGTTTAAAAATCAGATATTGTGGCAAACGCGTATGATATCGCGATTCGTGTCGGTATAGCGAGCGAGCACGTTACATCAGATTTCGGAAATATCAGATATTGTAAAATACATAGATATTGAACGAGCCAGTAAGCGATATTCGGATATTGTACTAATATCTAGTTTTCATATCTGATACGATATGTATCGCCCACCACTACTCAACACATTTAATTACATTTTGTCATTTTACAATACAAAAACAAATCCTTACCCAACTATGTTGAAAATTCTCTATGACGTTTCTAAAATGGAACTTTAACTTTACGTTCTAAGTGATTTTTCTAATATAAACCATGTGGAAATATGTAACTCGCCGCATCCGAGATGCTTTAGAAAAGAGTGTGAATCATTTTGATAAACGAAGTTCTACTGGGATCGTTAATTCAGCTGGTAACAGTCTTACTGAAGATCAAAATAAACAATCAGGAACACCCAGCTGTTGGATAAGCTCTGCTAAATGTTGGAAAACATTTTACAATGACCATGATACCAAAAGCAAGAAATGGAACTTTGATGATCTAAATCGTTCTTGGATAAGTGCCATAACATGGGTAAATATTTTTATTTTTAACTAAATTGTGTAAAGCTATGACTATAATAATATCGTAGTCATGTGACTAATAAAACATCCAATATACTAAAGTTTTATTTTCTTTTCAGAGCAGTGCATTGGTGGTTGGATGGTACACTAGCCAGCTCATTCATCTGAAACATAAATATAGATGCAATGAAAATAAGCAAAAAAGATGCCTTCCAACCAATTGTTTGTTTTCTTCTTTGCATCCATACATAGATTATATAAGTAAAAGTGCAATTTCTCTCAATTCAAGTCAAGCAATTGAAAAGGCAATAGCAAATATTCCTTTGCATGTACATTTAATATCTAATGATAAAAATGGAGAAAAAGATAAAGTTGTACATAATGGTGACAGCAATAGTTCATCAAGCTCCTTGGATGATGACCTGGGAGAGGTTTTAAATTCTATAGAGAATAGACTTGGCTTGGCAGCAATTGAAAATGGTCAACATCAGGATGGTCTCAATTTGTTAAGGTAAAATTAAGAATGATTGAAAACGCAGGTCAGACCACGCAGCAGCCTCCGCTGTTGTATGAATGGGCAGGCCCGTCCGGGTAAGTACCACAACCTCACAGAAGACCAGTGTAAAGTAGAAGTATGACAAATACTTTCGTGTTTTGTCTGGTGAATCAGGTAGCCGGAGCCCAATTTACAAAAGGTTGTCAACGCATCTGTAACCCTCGGGTGTAGCAGATGTCCATGGGCGGCGGTATTCACTTAACATCAGGTGAACTGTCTGCTCGTTTGGCAACTTTTCACTTAAAGAAAAGAAAAAAACCATATTGAGATACTTATAATTTTCCTAAAGAACATATTTGGATATTCAACTCTGTAAAAATTATTTAAATATGATAAGATTTTTAACCTGACCTTGACTAAAATTATGCATAAATACTTTAAATGCATATTTCAGAAGGCCTATCTGGCTTTTTGAGCTTTGGATATTTATTTATAAAAATTCCATGAGTCAAAATAAAACAAGAAATTAAACTTAAACCTAATTATACTTCTAGTCACTTAAGTCTGCCTGTCCCACATCTAAATGATTCCTTCTCAAAGCATTTTACAATCTTCTTGGTATATATAATTCTTCTGTATGTGTGTATGTCACTGAACTCCTATACAGCTGGACCGATTTTAATGAAATTTTTTGTGTGTCTTCAGGTAGATTAGACATGGTTTAGATTCATAATTCATTCCACTACAATTTTTTTTATAAGTTGTCAGATTTAAACCATATGTACTGGACAATGTCTGTTGGGTCTGCTAGTATTAGTATAATACATGTTATTAATTATTATTTAACCAGTCTCATCATATTTGTTTATTATCTGATCATAATATATGCACTGACACATTAAAAAGGGGAAATAAAAATAATAACATGTATATTAAAAGAAAAATAACAATCAGACATGAAGTAATAAACTGATGCAACATCTTTAAACATTGACTAAGATTTTAATAAAAATAGTCAAAATAAAAAAGCACCTATATTTTGTGTAACACTACATAAATGAAATAATAATAATTTATTTTCCCCCCTCATGCTCTAACTACAGTTGCCATCCCTCTTTTTGTGCTGCAAATTGTGTTATATATTGTAGCTAGGGACAAGCTCTGGTGCTCTTCAAGTAATAATATTTATATGTAATAATTTAACACTTTTCTTTAACAAGTCCTAAATATGCTCTATAGGATTCATATCCATGTGAGCTCCGTAAGTTATACCTACCCCTACCATAACTGAGCCGCCCCCATATGCAGTACTTACGTCTTCAGTACAAGGTCTGACTTCCATCAATCTGGTTCAAGAGTACTCTACATTCATCAGTGCAAAGTACCCGCCCTCATTGGTTTATTTCCCAAAAACAATGTTTATGCAGTCAGTTTAACTGATGTAAATAATGGTGATCTCGAGTTTTGGAGATTTGGCTAGTTCATATTGACGTTCATGTTCTATGTACACGCCGTCAAATCTGCGAACTGTACGCTCGCTCATTCATACTCCTCATAAGACTTCCAAGCTCATTTCGGGCTTGCACAACCCTTCTTACCAACATGTTCCTGGGAACTTGAAGTTGTAGGAAACGGCCATCCCTCCTCGAAGTGCACTTTTTTTGACTCCCCCTCACAAAAGAATCAAGTGGTACCGAATGTAGGACTGTAGGAATGTGGCGATTAATGTAGGTTTGACCATTTCTTTGGATTTCATTTGCAGTTATAATCTCTGTTGGTGTTAAATCAAGCATTTACTAAAAAATAAACATAATTTTAATTATTTTTTTTAATGTGAAAAGTTGTCAAACGAGCAGACGGTTCACCTGATGTTAAGTGAATACCGGCGCCCATGGACATCTGTTACACCTGAAGGTTACAGATGCGTTGACAACATCTTGAAAATTGGGCTCCGGCTACCTCACTCACCAGACGAAACGCGAAAGTATTTGTCATACTTCCAATTTACGCCGGTCTTCTGTGAGGTTGTGGTACTTACCCGGACGAGTCTGCCCATTCGTGGAACAGCCGAGGTTGCTGCGTGGCCCTAACACCGTTAAAAAAAAATTCAACTAGGTGCCTGCTATTGACTCAAAAATAAATAAAATTAAGAATTAATTGGGTTTAGAAAATTGCTCAAATATGAAATTAATTCAGTGGTTTGTTTCGAGTTCAGTGGACACAAACATATGGAAGTAAAATGTTTATACTATACATGAAAGATTGTTAATGATTTTATGATGCCATCTTTGGAATATGAGGTAAATGTGCTATTAATACTTTCAGCAAATGTGTTAATTTTTGTTCTCACCACTTTATGTGGTGGGTGATTAATTATAAAATATAAGGAATATTTTCTTTTACGTTAAGACAAATTACAGCAAAGTACATCAAATTTTAAATAATTGAGATTTTTTTTTGGGCTGGATGAGCTACTGTTGGCCTTAGGGGCCTTAACAGTTCCGACGGGCTTGAGGTGGCCTGGCGCACGAGGCGCCTAGCCTGAACCTCGGAAATAATTGAGAGTTCATAAAAAGTACTTGTAAAGTAAAGTAAAGTAACAGCCTATACATGTCCCACTGCTAGGCAAAGGCCTCCTCTATACAGAGGGTATCAGGGCATAGTCCACCACGCGGCCCCACTGCGGATTGGCGGACTTCATATATATTCGAAATATATTTTTTTTTGTTATTATTTCGAAAATATGCAGGTTTCCTCACGATGTTTTTCCTTCACCGCGGAGCACGTGATATGTCAGCACTTAAAGTTAAAAACTTCATTCGATTTTCTCATTCAAGGCGAGCGCCCGGACACTGAGCTATCACGGCTCTACACTGAGCTATCACGGCTCTACACTGAGCTATCACGGCCCTACACTGAGCTATCACGGCTCTACACTGAGCTATCACGGCTCTACACTGAGCTATCACGGCTCTACACTGAGCTATCACGGCTCTACACTGAGCTATCACGGCTCTACACTGAGCTATCACGGCTCTACACTGAGCTATCACGGCTCTACACTGAGCTATCACGGCACTACACTGAGCTATCACGGCTCTACACTGAGCTATCACGGCTCTACACTGAGCTATCACGGCTCTACACTGAGCTATCACGGCTCTACACTGAGCTATCACGGCTCTACACTGAGCTATCACGGCTCAGTGAAAAGTACTTGTAGGATATAAAAATAAATTTATATTAGGAGACGGCTTTCATGAAATTGAAAGGTACCTATATAATAAAAATAGACGGAGATAAATCAAATATATCTTTTTGCAGGTCTGCTGCAAATCGTAATCATGCCCCAGCTCTGTTTAATTTGGGTTTATGCTACGAAATTGGCTTGGGAGTAGATATTGATGAAAAAATGGTACGTAACTAGAACTAACCTTTGAATAATAACCCCATGGTAATATCCTAGATACATGATTTAAGCCCATTAAACAAAAATTAGAATCACCAACTGCATGAAAGTAAATTTTACTTTCTCATGAAATAAATGGTTTTCCACCACCTAAAACTTTGTAGCTTTGTTGAACCGTGGGGTTTGTGATTGGAGTGAAAAGTTAGTTTTAAAATTTTTACTTTGTACTACTGAAATCCTTTACTTTCAATACAAGTGCGACAGACCTTGTTACGCATCAATACTTCACAACAATAGTTCTACACATTTTCTCACTACTTTCCCTTTTCTTCATTTGTTCATCTTGAGTTCATCCACTGAACTGCCAGTCTAACGCACTGCGGGCTCCTTTTATAGGCCGAATTTCGATCGCATTTTCGTTTAAAATGTTCTAGATCAAAACTCTTCTATTTTTTCTTAAATAGAACAGTTAATAGAATTGTTCCAGAATAAGAACTTTCCTTTCTTTTTTTTTTCTAGATACCTAACAGTTTAAAATACCATATACACATTCGAAATTGTCAAGACAGTATGTGGACAATCAAGATTTAACCCTTGTTATTGTGCTCCTACTCAAGAATTTCTATTTAATTTCCTCTAAAATGCTAATATTATAGGCAATGGAGCTGTATCGCCTAGCTGCTGCCCAACAGCATCCTGGTGCTTTATACAACTTGGGAATTTATTATGGCCAAGGCCGGGGCGGACTCATTCGTGATACTGCAACTGCAAAGCGGCTGCTTCGTTTGGCTGCCGTGCAAGGTCAACAGGATGCTATCACAGCACTGAAGGGCCTTTGTGATGACATAACAGAGCAAGTACACGAAGATGATGTGGACAATTGGACAAAGCCAAGTACCATTTATCCTCAAAATGAAAACATTGTACCAACACAATCAGTTCTTTTTGTTGAAAATAATATAAACGGACAAAACTATAACTTTGTTTATTAAATTAGTTTTATGAAAAAGGTGTTGGTTTTTGCATTTATAGTTTTGCATTGTAGAATTATCAACACTTAATATAACTAGGGAAAAATACAATAAATTCAACCAAAATAAATTTTGGTATTTTCTTCTTTGCTTAGTTTTTTCTGAGTTTTACATTTAACAATGCCTGTTATTTTCCATTCAGAACAATATTTTTAGCTTTTCTCATAGTAGTGTTTAAAAACGTACGAAATAAAATTTCGTATTTAATATTAAAAAAATAGTTTTACAACTTTTATTATTATATATGATTCTCAAATAATTTGAATTAATTAAATTTGATGTTTATGCTTTTTTTAGTTTTACCCTGCTTACTAATAAAGTACCTACTCAAAAAAATGTACATAGAAATTTTCTTTAATAAAACAATATTCCCAAATTACTTACATTTATTATTTTTAATATAATATACATAATGTAATATAATTTATTAAAGTTACTAGTTTTTAAAGTCACCAGAGTTTTACACAAATTAAACTACAAACTTAATGTATAACAAAAATGAAATGTGTAATTATTATTCAAAACACATTAACACAATAAAAAAGTACAAACTAGTTTTGTACCCTTCTCATGCTGCTTGTCTAAATTTACATTTTTGAAAACTTATTTTCATCTCTATACACATAAATCTTATTACCCATTACATACCAATTTAAATTGGACACACTTTGATAAAAAGGAATCTTAGGTAGAATTCTTACAATTGAAATGTGTAATATAATTATGAGATATAAAAAAATTGGAATAATCAAACTTATATTTGTTATTAAGACAACAGTTTCTGCAACCACTATGATCTGTAACAAATTATAATAAATTTCATATAGAAAAAGTGATAAACAGGCATTACCACCTTCATCTGTTTAAATAAAGTTAAAATGGATATATTATAATGGTCCACGGAGCTCCTACTTTTCTAAATAGGTAGCCGAATCTGTCCTTTGCATTTTGATATATTCTCTTCATTTTCAAATTATTTATGAATTAATTCCTGGTGTTATAGTATGGGGCAGAATTCATGCCAAATGGCTCATAAATTTAATGATGTTGCAATAAGCTATGTTTGTGTGGCTGATTCAAGAATTGGTTTGTATTGTATTGGAAGGGGTAGTAAGTTCCAACACCCACGGTGACTAGACTACAAGATCTATTGTAGTCTTCCCTCCGAAAATATTGCCCTTTACTTTTGTAGGAATAGATAAAACAGTTGTGGGTCACACAAATAGTTGTCTAGTGTGGAAATCGAACCCACAAACCTCCCGCGCCGAAGCAAATTGCCTTGACTACGAGCTACAGTCATCAGAGAGTTGGTTTATGCATAGTACTATTTGGAACACTGACCGTTTTCGGCTAGTATTTGCGCGCGAAATCCCTGGCAGACGGGTTGTAACGGTCGGGATAGGGCGCACCAGGCGGCGGAGGTTGGTACGTTGCTGGGTATCGAGTTTCGTATGTGCTGCCGTAGCGTGTCTCGCCCGACCACTGCTCGCTGGAACTTCCACCTCCGCTTCCTGAACGAAAAGATATGCTAATCACTCTTGGTTGTTACCAAAAAATAACCTAATTATAAGCGAAGTAACAGTCTATATAATAAGCCGACTGCTGGTCAAAGGCCTTTACAAAGCATAATCGAGTATAGAGACCACCACTCTACCACACTGCAGGTTTGTAAACTACACATATCTTTACAATATTTTTTTTGCCCCTTGATTAACTTCACGTAAATAAATCAAACTATCGTATAACTAAAACAAATGATTTCTGCATGCCCTCCATGGATCTTAGGCATTAAATTATACATTGACAATATTAAAGTTAAGATCGAGTTCAATTCCGTTAATTTACTTTTGATTTACGCAATTTATTTTACTTTTATTACTTGTGATACAACAAAATTATGTGGGTAAATCTAAAAATAAAAATATTGATTGCTAAAGTGCTCTATGAATAAAAATGGTGGTATTTTTTATCTTATCGTCTCTTACGTCAACGTAGACTACGCGAAACAGACGATATCCTATATTCAAGGGCAAACAACATTTGTCTTTATTTCCATTTTTCAAAATGATAAAAAGTTGAAGTTACAGCAATATTAAATACAAATATATTTTTTATAAATGATAACTTTTTTATTTACGTGAGTACACATTATAAATGAATCTACTTTTATTTACGGATTTATCACAATTATTTTTAATTTTAATTCCTAATGTTTCGAATCCTTTATGGTGTTCATTGTCACAGGACAGATTGAGGCATCAGACGTCACTGTTAACCCGGGCTACAGTCAGTTTTTAAATTATTAATTTTGTGTACGATCTATGCAGAAGGTGCTAATTTTATCTTGTCTTACAGTAGAATCCTAAGCTAATGGTTGCACCTATCCTTTATATATTAAAATAATGCCCAAGAAAAATAGTTCTATTTATAAACTTTAAACCTGATATAAATATTAATCTGAAGTTGGTCCTTTTTCATGTGATTGTTCTTTTATTTTTTCATGTGAGGTATGATACAAATTTTTAACTTATAGCCAAATAATAATTTTTACATCATTTTTTACCAATTAATAGTATTTCATATTCAAGAATTTAAATATACAACAAATCTAAATAGCCGAAACCAAACCAAAGATATCATTTAAGGAAATATGTAAAGAGGTAGGAAAAGCAATGATACCTTTTCAAAGAAAAATCATACCTTTAGTAGGTGGCGCAGTTTCTGGGTAACGGCTTGAAGAATTCCAACTGCGCGGCTCCGGCTTACCCGGCGGGGAAGGACGGTATGAGCGGCTATCTCGAGACTCGTATGATCGGCTATATAGTCATAAAAATAAAAATTTATTGATTAAATGATTTTCTGTCCCATCTTATCTTCTTTGGAATGCACTTCCTGTCAAAATTAGGACTACCGATCATTATTCGATTCAAATACGAAAACTGTTTCGGCATAAATTGGCAAATCAATCGCATATATTATTACTACACATTTATTGAAATTTAAAGGATTTTACAGTCCTAATCTCTGCACTTAAGATTAAACATTAAAACTTGTAGGAAAAGTACGAAAACGTTGTCGCCGCTGTGGGAATCAAACCCACGTCTTCGGCATTCGCGGCCTGACACTTTAGCCACTAAGCTGAGGCCACACTGACAAAAATCTTAATGTCTTTTATCTAAATGATTTTTTAGCATTTACTGTGCACTCTATATGTATGTATTGCAATGACCATGGTTATTTTTAATATTTTTGTATTTATATTTGTATGTATCAACATATTCAATAATTTTTTTCTTTACTTTGCACCTACTTTTTTATCTCTGCACTACCTAATAGGTTGACTAGTATAGAATGTCTCAGGCATTAAGTCTGCCTATACAAAAGATATGGAACCAGACCTAATAATTACCTGGGTTCCTTAGGCCGTGTGCCAGGAGGCATTGGTTGCCTAGCGTCGTCACTTGCACTACCGTTGCTAGGGTACTTCATACTTCCAGCTGTGAAAAGAAAGGTTTTGATTAATTTGTAAAATTTAATTTAAAAAAATTCAAATCTTACATTACAAATACAGCGTGGCGTTACCATCGCGACAATAAATGAACACACTTCTAACGCTACTTGCCAATAATCATAAAAAAATATTAACGTTAAAAAAATCCATAATTAAAAAAATATTTTTTCAAAGAAACTAATTAAGTAAAAAAGAAACAAAATTTGTAACACCTATACAACTACAACTGACTGATTCATACATTCAGAGACTTCATTCGTTGCCACAGCGTCGAATTACAAGCCTGTTTTGTCTCTTAAATTCATTCAACCAATTCATATGCTTTGTGACCTTTACGTTACAGTTTTATACATAAGGGTGTTGTAAAATTCTTTGTTTTGGAAATTTTAATAACTCGGTAAATACTGATGTTTAAAGAATGTAAATGTTTAATACAATTTTAAAAAGTTATCCTCTATATGTGTTTTCATTTATTATAATATAAATATATAGTCGCGATGGTAAAGACACACTGTATATACAATATTTCATACTAAGAACAGGATGCGGTGGATTGTAATATACATACCTATTGACTATATCTCCTTAAATGTATGGTTATAAACAAGGAGTCAATGATGGCAAGATGGACATATTTATTTTTCTTAGATCTTTAATACCATTGTTAGTAATCTGGAGAAAAACTTGTTAGGAAACAAAATATTGATTGAATCCATGATTCCAAAGATAGTATATGCTAGTGGAAACTAGCTAAAAATTGATATTTCTTGTATGTATATTAGGGAAGACTTACATGAGACGTGGCGTGGGTAGTCACGTTTATAGTCACGCTCTCTTTCACGCTTATCTACGCCGCGGTCATATCCCGGCGCCATGTCGAATCGGGGCGGCGGAGGAGCTTCGAACTGCTTGCCAATATATTAACATTTAAACTTGCACAACAGATACTAACTATTTAGAAAAAGAAGCAAATTAAAAAATAAAATACATAATTTTAGGGAGAAATATGTACACAATTATTAAACATTTATTTGCTTTATGGCATGTATTAATTTACTTCATAAATAACATGGACTAAAAATTGAGGTTTGTAAAATTAATAATACTTAAATTGATCACAATAATGATGATGATGACAAAAAGAAAGTCAGAAGACTAATTCAATGCAAATACTTATTTTACACTTATTTTTTTTTTACATTTGAAAATGTTTAAAATTTAACTTTATAAGCTTGTTTATAAAAAGATATCTAAGCTTTGAAAATGACCATCTAAATAAATTATATTGTTATTGTATAAATAGAACATGTTGAATAGTTAGAGAGAATGGTAAATGCTCAAATAACTGTTAATAAATTTATCCTTACGTAACCAATAAATATTAGGTGTATAGTAGTGCAAAAACATTTGTTAGTTAATTGAATAAGGCAATATGAAGCTAAGAAAATCCATAGTTTCAATTTATAAAAATTAATTAAAAATCCATACCGAAAAGTTGCTTGTTTCAAAACAGAACAGATGTAAGGTATACTTGCCAATTGAAACTGTACTTTAGTGTTAAATGGAATTTTTGCATTCCAAACTGTTGCTTACATGCTTAGGTTTATTCGAGCGAAGGATGCTGGTCTGTGCGAAAAAATGGTAGTATCAACTATTATATTCAAAATTTTGCATGATATTCTTTTTAAACCCATCCATAATAAAGTGACTTACCTATATAACTTAAACAAAGAAATAAACAACACTCACCCATAAAAAGCTATATTAATATAAAGAAATAATACTCAAGACTTGCTGATTGTAACTACATTATTTTCTATAGACAAATATTAAATATATGTACCATAAATTTTGTTTTGTCACTTTATTAAAGAAAGTTAATAGAGTAATGCTATGGACCAAGTGATTAATAAGATACTCAATAATGCATATGGAGATATGTATCATCTGTGATTTTCGACATTATGCAAACATTGAAACGGGTTGGTGCTACATAAATCACAAGGGCCATAACAAAAAGTCTGTGTAAATTGCGAACACTTACCATTGGTGGCGGTGGCGGGCGTTTGTGTCTTTGATCCCTTTCATATGCAGGCTCCGGTGGTGGACTTGAGGCTGGTTTACGATATGCTGCGCTACTCTCATAACCACGCTTGCGACGCTCCTCTTCTAATCTGTAAGACATAATTATATGAATATATCATAGAATGCGATGTTTCAACAGGTAATATTTTTTAAACAAAACAATATTAAAATAACCAACCGTTGACAAACTGTACTAGTATTGATTAAGGCAAAATATATGATAGGTAGAAAAGAATACTAACCTCAATTGTGCTCTTTTCAGCTCCAATCTTTCTAATTCCAACTTTTCACGTTCCAACCTATGTCTTTCTCTCTCCAAGCGAAGAAGTTCATTCTTCTCTCTCTCAATTTTCTCTCTGAGTTCATAAGTTTGACAAAATTATAATTGATGCTATAATATAATAATAATACTGTGATGATTTCTCTGTAGACAGTATTGCAAAATAAACAAAGTACTGTAGTTGTTTACTTAAACATTTACCCTTTGATTTTTATTTAAGGCTTTTGGTCTTTATATGAGTAACACAACATGTGGACCACAAATATTGCAAAGCTATATGGACAACTGATTATTTTTTGTGTATAATTGGGTAAAAAATGATAACCTTTCGGCGCGTAACTTTTCCCTTTCAAGTGCGAGACGATGTTTCTCTTGTCGTTGACGTCTCTCACGTTCCCTTAATGCATCTTCAGCCGCGCGCCTCCTACGTTCTTCCTCGCGAGCCGCTCGAGAACGTTCCCTTGCTCTAGCTACATCGCGTTCTTTCTGTAAAATTGATACATCTTTGCAATGTATTGATTTCTTGATTTTACGCCAATGTTATACATATTAAATAAAAATAAAAAAAAAGTTTACGGATTTTTAATTCTTATTTATTTTTCAGCGTTTACGGTCCATGTGACCATGAACGTTGGAAAGCTTGAAACGTCTGGAATTTTAAAAAATATTATCATGAACAAATCCGTAAGTTAGTTTCATTTACTTTTGTAATATATAAATGAAAGTATTAGTTTTAGAGTCTCTGTAATAAACGAGAAAAATGGAAGCCGTAAGGCTATTGGTTGTGGCAATTTAAGCCAGTGTTGTTTTAACTAATTTCTACCATAACAACCTTTATAAAGTGTAAGAAAAATTGATATCAAAGTAACCCCTGGTATCGTATATAATATTTCGGCAAAATATCATAACAATAAAAAAAGTACAGTTTCATACACATTTCATTCCATTTTAATACGATTTGCCTATTATGCGCTAAAGCGCGTCATGTACAAAATTGTTTGGAACAATTGCAGAATTAACTGTACCTGTGTGTTAATTTTATTTTTTTAAAAGGAAAACAAATTATATATTCGGCCTTTATCTAGCAGTAATTAAAGTCAAATACTAACCTGTATAATATATAGAATAACATTATCTTATGCAGTGTTTTTTTTATATACAAGATATCTACGGACTAAACACAACATAATTTGTTGAGTCTCTAAATATTTCATTTGTTTGTCAATCTACACCTATGACTCGCATCGCCCAATACTTATCGCAGCAACATCGCCCATCTAGGCTAGATAGATTATTTCAGATGTACCATGAACACTCATAATCAACATCAACCTATTATTCAGTTTTCTGACATTTATATAATGGCAACTTACCCAAATCTTTGAAAATGACAGGACTTCTCTTGGTGACCTTCTACGTTCCCGACTACGAGTACTGCGCCTTGTTCTGTCCTACAGTTAGAAGAAGCAAAAAAAATTGTAAAAATAGATTAAAATTAAGCTTTTGGTTACCAACTTTATTACTTTAGATGGCTCAATATAGGACAAATATTCACCTAGATAAAAATCACTTTTGTCTTAGAAACAAGTTTTATATACCTTGTCTGATCTATGTGACTTTTCCCTAGTACGCGAGGTAGACCTTGTACTTTCAGCACCAGAGACATCACCCTCTTTTTGAACCTTTATATCACCCTGCTTCTCTCCTCCTTCTTTATTTTCCTGCAAATAAAAAGAAAGAACTACCTATACCTACATTTCAAAACACTCAATCTATTAGAGAGATCTTCTTGTATTTTTAACCAAAGGGGATTGATTTTAGGAAGAAAGTATTTTCAGAAAGCTGCTTAATTAGGTGTCTAGACAATTGTATAGTTAAGAGTTTTTTACTTTTAATAACTAACCTCATTATCTTTAATATCGTCTTTGCGTTCTTTACTTGGTCGCCTCTCAGGTCGTGTTGGCGGCTGTCTCCGGGATGCTGATTCCGATTCTGACTTTGCTTTCTCCACGGAAATCATGCGACCATGCAGTTCTAAACAAATGAAATACATTGCATAAGAAAAAAAACTTGAAAACTCTTAAATATGAAAATGGTGAATACAGTAGCATTCTTTACAATTCCTCTAACAAGTCATAACAACCTGTTAGTCCAACAAAACTGAGTCAATGATTATATAGAAAACTAAAGCCTGCAGACTAGAGTTTGAACGAACTATCAAATGTTTTATGATTATCTGATAGATTCAAAAATTATAAACATTTGTCTATGACTATGAAAGGGTCTTTAACTCTTAAAGTCTTTAAGGGTCATAGGTCTTTAACTATGAAATTGCCGGTTTGTATGAAATAAGTTAAAGTATTTTTTATTTCTGTAATTCAATGTTATCACCCATGCAGTTGATGGATGCATCTTAATTTATTGAAGTCCTTCTTGCGAGGCAACATACACTTGAAAAGCATTTTGTACGGCTTTTCAGGAATTAATTTTTTTCCCGCTAAAAAGTTGTCCAAATTTTGGAAAAGTAATAGACGGTATGTATAAGGTCTGGTGAGTAAAGCGGATGAGGGCGCGCTTCCAACCCCAACTCTTGCAGCTTGGAGATTGTATATTGTGCAACATGACGCGTTGTCGTGAATGAGCAGCGGGGACAACCGCTTGACCAAATGTGTGCTTATCCATCATTATCTTCAATTCTCGTGCAGTTATTGTAAAAATTTGTGATAGATCACCAAGCAGTGTACGTCGCTTTCCTAGAGGTCATTTTTCTTTTACAGATTTGGTGCTGAACCAGGATCTAACCAATTTGCTGAGCGCTTTCAATTGTCGAACAGAATCCATTTTTCGTAGCAGGTAAAAATTCGGTTCAAAAATCCGTCATTTCCTGTGCCTTTTGAGTAGTGCAAGGCAGGTCTCGACGCGTACGTCGCGATGGCGACCAGTTACTTCGTGGGGCACCCATATTGTTTTGATGCTAACATCAAAAGCTGCTGCTAGCTCAGCTGTAGATTGATTATCATCAGCTTTCACAATCGCCTTTAATTCATCATTGTTGACCAGTGTCCAGGTCCACTTTTCGAGTCAAAATTTCCAGAACGGAACCGGGCAAAACAATAACAGGTTGTGTATTCGTTGGTAAAGTTATCTCCGTAAACGTTGTTGATCTTACGTCCCGTTTATAAGTCCCCCAAAAAGATGAGGTAAAGTATTTGGGAATGACAAGAGACTCACATGGAGAAAACACATATTTACCAAAAGACTAGCAATGGGACAACAGGTCAGAAAAATGTACTGGATGTTGCAGAAGAACTCTCTGTTGTCAATGACTAACAAGTTACTTATTTATAAAGCCATAATTAAGCCAACATGGTGCTACGGCCTGCAACTATGGGGTACAGCGGCAAACTCGAACATAGAAATCCTGCAAAGATTTCAATCTAAAATGCTGCGCATGATAGCAAACGCACTTGGTATATAACAAATGATAGACTACACCACAACCTTAACATTAAAACAGTAAAAGAGGAAATAAAGGAAAGGATGACTAAATACAAAACAAGAATCACACACCACCCTAATGTACTCGCAATGGATCTAATGAACGAAGTGAAAACGCCACGAAGGCTCAAACGCAAAAACCCACAAGATCTATTATTGTGAACGTGTAGATCGCATATTGATGAAGCGATATTGTTACTGAACAATCTCACACAAGCTCAACACCTATAAATACCAACATAATGCTGAATATCGCTAGATAGATTGTATTATAAATGTTAATATAAAAAAAATATGCGTGTTTATTTTTTGTCGCGATTGTAAAGACACGATGTATATTTAATCGACTTTGCTTTCTTGTGAAATATATTTAAATATTTACCAGTACGATGTAAGTTTTTAATGCAGTTTTCAGCATCTTGGCTACTCGCCATCGTAACATATCCATAACAACGGGATCCTGGAGTGCGTGCATTTGTAACAATCTTAGCTCCAATAACCTTTAATAAAAAAAACAACGTAAGAACGTGTAATAGAAATGAAATAATAATAACATGAAACTATATTGAAATATTGAAAGTATTTATTATCAATGTGCTCATAATTATGAAAGTGGTCTAAGTCAAAAATTTTATGAAATTATAGAAACATTTCATGGTCTATGAGATACAGCCTGGTGACAGACGGACAAACAGTCAACGGAGTTTTATTAATAGGGTCCTGTTTTATACCCTTTGGGTATGGAAACTTAAAAATATCGTTGGCGAATCTGTCTCATGGGTGTACATTCAAGGGATGAGATTCTTGAAAAATTAACCTTATAAAATTTCTATGGATGATTTTAAATTCCATGTTTTGGATCTTTCACCTAAAAGAGGAAGACAATAAATATACGGAAAACATATACATTATATGTTTATACATACATCTCTCAAGTTTTTCAGGAACTTTTTAAGAATCTTAAATTTTGAAATGATAAAAATGTATTACTTTTTTAAAATAAATAATAAGTTCACATAAATTATTTCATTTAAGTCATTTTTTCAAATAAAACTCGCAGTTCTTTATTGCTTTAAGTCATTTATATCACATTCAGTTAATTTTGAAAATGGTCTAAGTCAATTTAAGCTTTAAAACAAAATTTTCGTACGAAATTCAGACAAAGTTCCATATTCATAATAAATTTCGACTAATCAAGACTAAAAAAAATTATAAATTAAAATGTTGTATAATGTAAAAATATATTTTACTTTGTTCAAATGTAATTCATTAAATATCTCGACACAAGAAATATATGACTTAGACCCCTGTCATAACTATGGGCACACATACAATTAAACTACCCGTTTTTCATTTTAATAGAATACTATTAAATTATATTAACCTTGCCATGTTTACTGCATAGCTGTTTTAAGTCCTTAGCACGAGTGTCGCCAGAAAGGCCACTGACCCAAAGATTGCGTGCACCACCTTCTTTACCATCATCTTTTTTATCTTTTTTCTCACTTTCATTGTCCTTTGTTTTATCATCTGCAGAATAAGAATTATGCACTTAGTCTAATAATCTCATTAAAAAAATGTATAACCTGTATCCAAGTCAAGTATGTACCTTTTTGTTCCTTTTCATTCTTTTCATTGTCATTGCTGAAAAAATTATAAGGGATGAGTGAAATATTTATATTATATTTTTAACGCCTCCAATAAAAGAATATAGTCTTAATGTGTAATTTTGTACTAATAACATAAAATTTAAACATTTAAGTTGGAAGGAACACACACAACTACAAAGTTTTGCACCATTACTCCACCGCATTGATGTTGGCCGTTGCATGGTCGAACCGGAACCAAAGATGTGCAGATATGGAGCCACTCGTTGCTGAAGACTTTCATGTTGTAAATCCTTCCTGCAACATGATGCATTCTCGTAGCCGCTGGAACCGGAGCTATGTTTCGTCGCAATGAGCTGTCAATCATCTTGACTTGCAGGATGCAGCAGGCGGTCCCAGGCCATGCAGCTTGATCCGTGGTTGTTGAAGTCACCAAGGCCGTCCTTGTTAATTGTTAGGTGCAAAACTTTGTAGTGATAGACGAATAATGAATGTACGTTTAATAATCGAGGCTTATAGATGCGCGTTGGCGTCGCGATGGCCGTTCGACGTTCACCAACCTAGTGGCGGGTGCTTCGGTGTTTACTTGTTGTTGGTTTTCGGCCGGCGCGTTGTCGGTGTCGGCGGTGGTGTTGTTTGCAGCTGACTCGTCGCCTGGAGCCCCCGCCGCGTCCTCATGTGCCGGGTCATCTAAGTTAGTATCGATGGTCAGCAAAGTCAGCACGAGACGCTCGCCGGGAGCGACCCGTCCTGTCTTTCTTCCTTCTTCAGCGAACCACCCATAATGTTACTTTTCAAATATTTCATTTCTTTTGAGGAAAATATATCTTGACCTGAAAACTTGATTCGATATTAGCACCACTGCCTTTATGGAAGACATGGAGCGATATAGAGCCACTGCTTCCCTTATAATTATTTGGAACACTGGAAACTCACTTTTAGAAGTGTTTCATTTTACAACTAAATTGGAAAAACCACCTTAACAATGTTTGTAATAATCTCATTGCACATTTGTACATTTCTTTGACAAATGCTCTCCAAGGTCATTTAGGCTTTCTTGTCTTCTTAACAGCTTTAGTGGTCCGCGCTCGTAATGTCTGATCAATTTTCGGCTGTTTCACCAATGGCATCAGTATTCTTCTTTTTACCATTTATCTGCTCCTATACCAGCCAACACTTCACAAAATTGTTCATTACATTAATGCAGAAATGTCAAACACAGGAATCCAGTTACATTTGTATATTTGTCAGAGGCCAGAGAAAAACAAAAATAATTACCTATTTCATACAAATAACATTTTTTGGGACTTACCTTTTTTGTGTTTTGCTGGATTGTCAGTCTGAAAAAATTTGTTAAAATGTAGTGAGCATGTATTATTAACAAATATGTACTGTTATTAACAGGAATCAATGTAAATTAGTTCATATGTAACTAATGAAATAATAAAAATCATGCAGTAATTAAAAAGCAACAAACACTTTTAGATAGTCATTTTAGCAGTCTTAGTTAGATTAGTGACTATTAAAAGAATAGATCTTTATATAAATCAATTGTGTTTAATAATAAATAGTTCATAATCAATTCACAGTTTAATGAATTATAATTTAATCTACTTCCATCATGTACCCATTGGATATTTTGGATGCCACAAGCGGTAGCTTAACATTGACTTTGAAGACATAGAAACATACCTCCTCATTTAATAATTCATCATCACCCAGATCTAAATTAATACTATCTTCAGCATCTGTATTGTTTTCAGCTTTATGATCATCTTCATTTTTGGCTTCTTTTTCTATACAAGGTTTCTTAGCTTCGGTAGCATCTGAATCATCCTTCAACTCTCTTTTTCTGCAAACCTTGCTTATATCATCAATTTCCATTTTCATGTTCTCTTGTTTTAGTGTACCACTCTGTAGAACATCTGTACGTTGTTCATTGTCTTCTACATCACCATCTGTATCTTGGACAATCATATCTTCCATAGCTGGGGTGTCCTCTGGTTCAGCATCTAGCGAACTTTCTGTTCGTCTAGTCTTTTTCGAAGGTGTCTTCACTTCGACAGAACCTAAATCAAATCTGTAAGTCGCTGGGTCATGGCCCTCCTCTTCCAAATGCTAGAAAATAAATACATTGCGAATGTGATACATTACACACATATGTGTACGACAATCCTTTATGTATAAATTGCTATAAGAGTTTAATATAAATAATGGTTTTAAAATGTGTGAATTTTATATTAACCATTTAAAATCTAAACAATTACCTTAGACAACCGTTGAATAAGCACACTACGTATACCGGTCTTGTCGAGGTTACGCTTTTCTAATTCTGCGCGTAAGTCTATTACTCTTAGTTCCTCGAGTAATCTTTTTCGGTCCGACATCGTCCGCTGTTATTTTAAGAGCAATTCTAATTATAAACTAGAAGTTTCGGTTCTAATTTCAACGCTGGACGTTCTCTATATTCAAATCCACAGACGACGGCAATGTGTTTCGTAAACTTAAATCACCATTAATCAAAATGGCGGCTCGTCGCTCGCTTCGCCGATGAACCATAGAGTATTACACAGACTACTAAGATGATATGCATCAGACGGGAATCTTCATACAACCAACGAACCAATAGAGGCACGGTAATTTAGAATTTGAAATGTATTATTTTTTTTATTTTATTAAGTTTTTTTAGGCAAAAGCAAACCGTCTATTGGCACGGTGTTGCCGTGCTAGACATCCACGAAATAGAGTTCAATTAATGATTGTCATAAGGCTTTTAAAAAAAACAGCATTTATACTATTTATTCAATCTTTTATTTTTTAACTTTTTTCTATATTTTTCACGTGACTATACGTGGACTAACGAAGGACTATGTACAAATCCAAAGCGGTTGTATTTTGGGTCCGTGAGGTTAGTTGAAATAAACAAGGTTCACGTTGCAAGTTTTTTAATCAACAATTTTTGCGGACCATCATACTAATTACAACGGTCAAACCATAGTGTGTTTTAATTTACTACTAACGCCACCTATGTATTACAAATAAGAAACTAAATATTATACAAAGCTATAGTATAGTAAATTATTTTTTGAAAAATAACGTCATAAAAAAGTTTCACTTGTTACGAGTGTACGCTAGTACACGCACACATTTTTTTTTTAGTATGTTATAGTATAAGAGTAACGCTCCCGTCGCAAAATGCAAATACGTTTGCTCCGGAACGCGTCGGCCGTATTACGCTCGGTACTTATGAATTCAATCTTAAAATTGTACGATGATACAATTAATGCACAGCGCTGCAGTCTACTAGCCGTCATATTAGGAATACTATGCCCAGCACGAAAATACTCTAAGTACAAATTCTCGCCCATATAAATATTGATGAAATTTTTTTAATGCGAAAACATTCGCCAAAGCCTCTTTTTCTATTTGGCTGTAATTTTTTCAGCGGGCGTGAGAGCCCGCGAAGCGTAGGTGACTGGACGCTCGCGGCCGGGCCGCTGCTGCGCTAGCACCGCTCCCACAACGCGCGAGCTGGCGTCGCACGTCACTACCACTGGCCTTAATGATCTAACACCTCAGCTTTACTTAATAATAATTTCATATTCTAAAACGCTTGCTTTTGCTCTTTCCTCACCAATGCCTACCTTTTTTTAAAAGTGTGTAAAATGGATTCAGGTAAAAACTTAAATTCTTTATGAATATACAATAAAAATTAACCATACCCAAGAATGACCGTAATTCGGATGCGTCGTTAGGTTCTCGTAAATTTAAAATGGCTTTTATCTTTTCGTTATCAACTTTTATACCATCTTTGTTTACAATGTAACCGAGATATTTCGTTCGAAGACTTCGTTTGCAAAAAATACGCATTTTTGTTTCTTAATTTTAAACCCGTTTTGGCTTAACCTTAACAGTACCTTACGCAATGTATCTAGGTGATCTTTTTCAGATACACTATAAATCAAAATATCATCTAAGAACACAACTGTGTTAGGTATATCCTTCAAAAGATTTATCATGATTCTTTGAAAAATACCGTGACTGGAAGCCAAACCGTAAATCAGACGATTGTACATATAAAGCCCCCTATGTGTATTTATTACCGTGTACTTTTTTGACCCGTCTAATTCTATTTGGTTGTAGGCCTGGGACAACTCTAACCTACAACATACTGAACCAATTACAACCGCTAAGATTCGATAGTAAATCTTCAATTTTGGGAACCGAAAATTTATCCGGCGCGGCGCCGGGACGAACGCGCAGCGTTGCTTGCTCACCGCTAAACCGCCCCAGACCGCCATCGAATATGTGTTTAAATCTGTCGAATAACATGTTTAAACTTTCCATTTTATCACAGTTTTGTGTACAATTTATTCTATTTACATAAAATTTTGGGATATCAATCCCCAATTCAGCTAACCATTACCTTCCTAACAATATGGTTGTCCCATTTTCTATTACATACAAATCAAGTATTTTACATTTACCGTAGTATTGTACTGAGGCCTCTATATAACCGTCATAAAATGAAAGTGTTATTTATTTATTTATTTAAAGGACCCCAGCAGAACATGCATTTAACGTTTAAACAATAAGATTACAAAAAAAAAATCTGATGTATGTACCTTATTAGGTGACACAGCATTGTTTCAGCTAAATACAAGAATAATCGAGACAATAATGCAAAAATATTTAACAGCAAATAACTTCAGTAAAAATATGAAAAAGAAAATAAGAATTAAATAATTACAAGCAAAAATTCAAAAAGAAAAATAAATTAAAATTAAATTAATAATATTAAAAAAGAATCGACATTAATTAAAACTTATAAAATACAAATAAATTTCATTATTACAATACAAAATACAGAATGAATACAACAATCTAAATTAAAAAGGAATTATCTGATTAATAATAAAAACATTAACGGACATGACTCAGTATTAATTTCTTGAATTTTATAAAATTTAAATGGAATAAATCCATTCTGGGTAGTTCTTCACAGATGGCATTGTAAGAATTACAGAAAAGCGTTACGGGAGCATGCAAACGCAAGTTACTTTTATGAGGAGGAGTCCAGAAAAGTTTTGTTATAGGGCGCCGGGGGAGATTGTTGGGAACGGCTAGGGCAAAGTTACTTAGTAGTTCACTGCATGAGGTATGACCATGTAAAATTTTATGTAGCATTAATAGGTCGTGAATTGTCCTTCGATCCTTTAATGTTGGCATATTAAAAAATTCAAGTCGGTATTTATATGGGCATCGGTATGATATTCCGCTAGTGATACAAGCGATATGTCTCGTGAAGGCTCTTTGGATATTTTCAATTCTTTGGGAATGTACCGCGTATGATGGATTCCACACGGAACTTGCGTATTCTAATTGACTCCGTACTAGCATGTTATAAACTGTGATTTTTGTTTTAGCTTGGAACCCTTTAGTGTTTCGTTTGAGAAATCCTAGTGTCTGTGCAGATTTTTTAACGATTTTATCGATTTGAGGAATGTAACTGAGTCTCGAGTCTAGGGTAACTCCCAGATCCGTTGAGAGAAGTGTTAATTTACAGGGTAACAATGCCAAATGTTTAAATTTTTCTGTATACAAATTATAACTTATACAAGATAATGCTGAGCCTGTGTCAATCTCCATTAATTATACATTATTATCAACACTAATGGGAATGTTAACCGGCTTATAGTCCTTCAAAGACATCTGGAACATTGGATGCTCGTTTTCTTCGCCCTCGCTTGCTACCGATGCCGGTGCGGAGGGGCCCTCCTCCCCCTCAGCCACGTGGTGGGCGCGCTCATGACGCACGGAGCCTTGCCAGTGCCGCACGCCGGAGCCAGCGCCTCTGCCGTGCGCTGAACTGTGAATGAAAGTTGATCCTGTACTCGAGGTCCACCCGCGCCGCCTGGTACTTTTATTTTGATGTCTCTCACCGAGAGAGCACATCCGTTTTAAATGTCCAACTTTGCCATAAATATCACATTTGTAGTTACGATAAGGACATTGACGTCAAATATGGCGGGAACTGCCGCAAGTTGAGCAGGGACTCATTTGCACCCTATTCACTTCGGTCACTTGATAGTCTGCCGTGCTCATCCTTTGTCGCTCCTGTTTTACTACCTTCGTTACATTTTTGTTCGCGATGGCGATGCCAGAGGTGCCCGCGTCGCGGCCCGTGCAATCTACCACTGATGAGTCACGCTGGGCAGCTTCCATTGACGTAGCTAATTTCACTGTGCCCGTCCAAGTTAAAAAATCCTCAGCAAACAGTCGTTGACGCATCATATCACTGCGTAGACCGCACACAAATTGATCTCATATTTTCCTTCAGTGTTTTTAAATTCGCACGATTTTGCCAAACGTTTTAAATCCGTTACAAACTGAGATACTGTTTCGTTTTCACACTGCCTACGTTGGCGAAACTTATAGCGCTCTGCTAGAATTGACGCTTTCGGTTGCAAATAATCGCTGCTTTATTCTTACAACATCGTCGTATTTCATTTTAGCGGGTTTACTTGGGCTTCACAGGTTAGTCATCAGTTCATATCCACTTTCGCCAACCAATAGGCATGATGACTAATTTTCAAAAAGTGTTCTATGATGTTGGGACGCATCTACAATGTTACAAAAACTATCTTATTTTAACAGAAAATAACGTTTAAGTATAAAAAATACCATTTTAATATCCCAGTTTAAAAATTCTGCCAAAACGCGCTGTGGTGTCATGGCGGCCAATTGTGACGTCACATCTATGTTTGTCAGCAGTAAATATTTGGTGCTTAAGCAATATTTCCTTATTTTTGGCGTTAAAGATGAATTCTAAAGTGTATAAGTGGTGTGCGGTACCCCAGTGTAATAACACTTCAATAAAAACTCCTAAAAAGTATTTGTTTACGTTCCACACAAGAAAATAATACGATATAAGTGGCTTAATCTTGCACGACGAGGTCCAACCGCTATATGCCTTAATTCTCCAATGTATTTCTGTGAAGATCACTTTGACGTAAGTCAATAATGAATTTCTTATATTCTAATATATTTGAGTGCATTTTGGTATAGTTTAAAGTTTAAAATTAATTTAATAAATAACTTTTGAGGTTAGGTTAACAGGTTCCATGTATTTGTTATTTACAGGTATATTACTATATTGCAGTTACCAAATGATATGGAAAATTTTATGGAGTATAAGATCATGGGATCAGTGTCGCAGGTCCGTATGAAACCAGGATGTGTCCCCACAAAATTTGAATGCCAACCAGACAGAAGGAAGCGCACATCTTCTACTATAGATCGGCCATATATTCTTAAGAAACAAAGGAAAATGTTAGTTGAAGAATGTGAAAAAGATTTTGAAGAGAGCAGTAATACCAGAAAAGATATGGAACTCGGGGAGACTTCATATGGACATTCAGGTACCTTTTTTGTTTATTTCTTTTTTTCTAAATGAATTAATTTTTTCTCAGTAACCTTTCCTTTTTATAATGTTGGAGATTAAATGGCATGTCTACTCTATTGCCTATCCTCTATTGCCTGATTGATGATTTATTATGTAAATAATATGTTTTGTTTAATGTCTAATTGATTTCAATGTCTTATGTCTATGTTCTTTATTTTCAGTTTTCCATGTAAACATAGAGAATATTAGTGAAGAAGAAGTAACTAAATCTGCAAATAAATCAATCCAAGTGAATATGATGAAGAAGTTTAGAAGCAAAGCAATCCAAACAGACACTAAACTAGTAAACCAGATGACATCACCCATGAAACCTAGTGTACAATCAGTATCCACATCACCATTTAAAGTCAAAACTTGCATTTCTACTAAGCCATGGACATCCAGCTTATATAAACCATCAAGAAAAATATTCACCACAGAAGACCAATCTGATAGTGATATTTCTTACACACCATCAATAACATTGAGAGAAACATCACCATTTCAAATGAAGTCTTCAGATTGTAGTGAACTAACTGAGGATAATAAAAAACAAGAGGCAATGAAAATATTGGAATTTACATTGAATAAAATTAAGAAGAGTCCTCGATATTATATAGGTTTACCTAAAGGTTGCTATTACCTTATACATTTAATTGAAAAATATTCTCTAAAAATACCAGAGAGCTATATATTAATGTGTTTAAAAAAAATTAGATTAAATAATCCATTTAAAGAACTGAGTGATGATTTCACCTTGACCACAACATACTGTAGTAAATTATTTGTAAAAAATATACCTATTTTAGCTAGTACAATGCGGCCTTTTATAGTAAATCTTGATAATGATTGTATTAAAACTAATTTACCTATGCCTTTTAGAAATAATTATTACAGTGTAAGTTGCATTATTGACTGCTTAGAAATTGAGGTGCAGAAGCCTTCAAAAGCTTTGAATCAGTCTCTCTCATGGTCTGAATACAAAAAGGCTAATACCATTAAATATCTTGTTTCCTGTACTCCGAATGGTTTAGTCAATTATGTTTCACCAGGGTATGGAGGAAGGATAACAGATACATGTTTGGTTGAAACATGTGATTTTATAAAATGTTTGCAACCAGGCATGTGCGTAATGGCTGATAGAGGTTTTAAGCATGTAGAACCATATTTGCGTAAATATGGAGTGCAGCTTGTAAGACCTCCAAGTATCATAACTGGAACTAAACTTTCGAAAAGTGAGACCAAACAAACTAAACAAATTGCCAGTTTAAGAATTCATGTTGAAAGACTGATTCGACGCTTACGTGAATTTCATATGTTAAAGCCACATGCATGTCTAAATCATAACTTAGTTAAAGTACTTGATGATGTTATTACTATTGCTTGTGGATTCATCAATTTGCAAGATTCACTTATTAAATAAAACAATGAACATATAACACCTGCATTTTATTTACTCACTCAAATGATACTGTTATATAATAATGGATATACATTATCTTTCCAAGAAGAAATTAGTACTTTCAAAATATCTGATACGTAATTATCATCATATTTCACACTTATTAATTTCACTTCTTTATTTGCACTGTATTTAGAATCAGCTACACAAAAGTAGCCTCTTTTAAGTCCAGTTAAATACATTTGCAGCTGCATCTGCATGTTAAACTTCTGAGTTGGCTTCCCATTTTTCACATAATTAACCATTGCTTTTTCACTCATAGGACATTTTATTTCAATAATGGCATCTTCACAGATCCCATCAGGAGAACCTGCTATCATAGGATAGGTTTTTGACAGCAACAAACCACACATTTTTATTTTTTTTCCCAGTTTATTACTCACCGTCTTCCTAACTTCGTTCTCTAAATCTCTGCCATGTTTCATTGCCAGTGTGTCAGGAATTTTTCCTCCCATAATTAATGAAATTAAAGTACCATCCTTAGATGTACACCGACTAAAATCAAATGCCCTTGAGGCTGTCACTCTGCCATATCTTAATTCATGCCATAGGCTGCTTTGATGTTGGTCTCTTGTCATTTCCTCAACTTCCTTGATATCTATGTCTGATATTTCAACCTTTCTCAAAAAATTATCACATGATATTTCTTTATATTTTAATACTAACTTATGCATTTATAAGTTTTTTCTGTTCTACTACAAACATAATCTTTTTGATACTTTAGTATCTCACAGTTGTTTAGCTTTCTTTTCTTCCCTTCTTCCAAAAACATTTCGAAAACTCCAGAATTTGAAGGCAAGCTGGGCGTACCTTTTGACAACTCTTTTGCTGTTATATATTTAATGGTAGTCCCAACTCTCGATAGTTTGGACTTCATCCAGTAGCATTCCACGGATGTACATGATGGCTCTTCACTCCTACGATGGGCCCACATGAGAAATGCAATAGCATGCTTACACCCTCCTTGTGAAGCAATACAGTCGTGGCATTCTATGGACTTGATTTTTTCATCTTCTTCGTCAACTACAACAGTCACTCCATACAACTTTGCATGGACTTTATGTTCAGGACAGATTTTGCCTTTCACAATACACAGCTTTCCATCTCGTTTCAGCTGTACATAGCTTACAGCGTCATCTCCATAGGATGGCTTAGAGGACCTAAAATATGGAAATAAATTTGTAAGTATTTAATAGTTTTAAAACAACACGACGTAAAGTAACCTCAAATTTAATCTATTATGAAAGTTAAAAAAAAAATTACGGCATTTGCACTATTGAACCATTATACTTTTTAATGAATGTTAATATACTTACTTAGAAGTTTTTACACTTCGAAATTCTGCTGAACAAAAATCTTTGTTAGCTCCAAGAAACTCTCCCAGCATCAACAAATCAATTCTAGGCAAATTAGAGCTATTTGCCTTGGTAAATCCTTGTTCCATAGCTGACTTTGCTTAATTTGGACTTTGAAAATATAAGATTAAGTGAGAGATTGTTGAAAACCACGAATTACTTGATAAACTCAGACAAACAAACAGAAACAGGCGCAAATTGCTAACAAAATATTATGGCGTCTAGAAGCTTACATAGTCGTGACGTAATTCGCTCTGATTGGTGTTCAACTTGACATGGCGGATTGCTTAATTTTATAGTTTTATTTTATTAAATAAATAATCAATCTTAAATAAAAAATGAAGATAAATACTTTTTTACGAAATTATGAGATATCACAAATTAGATTAACACATTATTTTGGTGAATCTTAGTTACTGTCATCATGCCTATTCAAGTAACTTTAATTCTTCCTTGATGCCGTTAACCAAAAAATGCAATCCCAACCTTTCACAGTATGAACTCCAATTGCCATTTGAAACGTCGAATTCTCCGATCCTACCCATATGTTATTATGATAAAGGAATTTTATCATAATAAAACGTCGCCACTGCGAAAAAAGACACTCGTAATTGTTCAACGTTTATTGCGCGACTGGCCCACCGCCCGAAATCGTCTTACAATAGTTTTTCGCACCTACCCTATATCTAAACATATTAGATACTAAACTAGAAACAATACAACAAAAACAACTAATAATTGTATTATATATTAAAGGTTTTAACATTGAGACTCCAAACTTTGCAATAATACGAAATAAAAAACTTATTTTTTTTTAATTTTGACCTTTTAGGACTAGGTTTTTAGGTTAAAAACCTTTACTAAATAATATCAACAATAATATTCTAAAAGTAAAGTAAAGTAACAGCCTATACATGTCCCACTGCTGAGAAAAGGCCTCCTCTATACAGAGTCTGTATAGAGCTCCGTATCAGGGCATAGTCCACCACGCGGCCCCACTGCGGATTGGCGGACTTCACATATAGTCGAAATATATTTTTTGTTATTATTTCGAAAATATGCAGGTTTCCTCACGATATTTTCCTTCACCGCGGAGTACGTGATAAGTCAGTACTAAAGTTAAAAATTTCATTGGTGCCGGCGCCGGGGATCGAACTCAGGTTGCTCGAGTATATTGAATTAAAAGTGAGCGCCCGGACACTGAGCTATCACGGCTCTGATAATATTCTATCATCATATATTCATTAATTATATTCTAAACTTAATTATAAAACGAAAAAGCGGAATACATTGTGAATTGCCCATTAATATGCAATAACACCTATTAAATATATAAATATCCATAATATTGAATAATATTGAAACCTATGATATCCCAGTATCCAATCTAAAACCGTGTATTGGAGATATATCAGATAAGGTATATACGCAAACGTAAAATATTTAGATATTAAAATACATGGTTTCGAAATCTGATATTTGAAATCGAAATCTGATTCAGGTTCTCAGAAAAAGTGATTTTTATAAGTTAAGATAAGTAATATTCAATTGGTCAATGAGCAGTCTCCGTTTGTTTCGCTATGACGCCTCGTGGAATGCGGTAAGATCGTGAACACATGATGTTCTCCTCCACTGCGTGCGTTCGTAAGCGGTGTGTACCGCGCGTTGCATGCTGCCGCCAACAGCGTTCTTCACTACGTCACCCCATCTTATCGGTGCCTGCCTAGAGCACGTCTGCCGTTCATCTGGCCAGTAATTATCTGCTTTTCTAGACTGTGCCTTGAATATCGCATAATGTGTCCACAAAAGCAGAGGGCCCGTTCACGGCAAATTGAAGAAAGCCGCTTCGTGATGTTGAGGTCTTTTAGTATTGAGTCGTTGGTAGTCTCCTGGCAGTCCAAGGAATACGGAGCATCCTACGCCAACACCACATTTCGAAAGCATCGATTTTACTGCTACCACGGCTTATTATGTTTCGGCACCGTACATAAATTTGGGATGACCAAAGCTCGTGCCAATTGCACTTTAGTTGTACGTCGAATACCACGGTTCTTCCATATCTTTTCAATCTAGTCATAGCAATTTTGGCCATATCGGCTCTACGACGAATTTCATCAGTGCAGCTGCCATCGTTGGATAACAGCGACCCAAGGTATACAAATTGGCTGACTTTTTCATATCCATTGAGTGCATCGGAGACTAACAGTGTTTGTGCTCGGTCTACCACCATTATTTTAGTTATAGAATGGTTGGTCTTAGGACCCACTTTTGCACTCTTGACTTCAATTCTCTTTAGAAGTGCCGCCATGTCCCTTCACAACCTAGGTGCTGTAGCATAAACTTCACTACTGTCGTATCATCTGCATACCTTAAGTTACAGATCCTTCGACCACTGTCTGCAACACCACCGTCCCAGCCTTCCAGTGCTTTCCTCATGATATATTCCCCGTACAAATTAAATATTTTTGGTGACAGAATGCAGCCCTGGCGTACGCCTCGTTCTGGGTGGAAGCTCTTAAATTTCTGGTTTTCCAATTTCACGAAGCTTGAGCTATCAAGGTACAGATTCTGTATAAGGTAGGTAAGATGTTCAGGAACACCCATCTCTACCAATACATTGAACATCATCCTCCAGTGGACACAATCGAACGCCTTGGCATAGTCGACAAAGCACAAAACCAGAGCTTTGGCAAATTCACGACATTTCTCAATGAGAATACGTACGTTCAAAATTTGTTCGTGAGTACCCTTTCCAGTTACAAAACCGGATTGTTCACTCGGTATCTGGTGATCTACAAAAGCTGATAGCCTGGCGTTCAAAATGCGCAGCAGAATTTTGCTTGCATGTGACATGAGTGACAAGGTTCTGTAGTTTTCGCATTTCCTCGTAGATCCTTTCTTGTGTAGCGGGACAAAAGCAGATTGTGTCCAGTCTTCTAGCCACTGACCCTTATTGCATATCTGGTGGATGATCTTGGTCCCTTCACAACCTAGGTGCTGTAGCATTGCCGCAGATACGCCATCAGGACCAACCGCCTTATGGTTCAATCTTTTGATAGCGTCTTGTACCTCAGAAAGCAATGTATCTGGTTCTCTGACGTGATCACCCCACTTCCTTTCAACACCGAGTCCATCTTCTTCCCTATAGAGTTCATAACATTAGCTCGTCCATCTCTCAAGAACTCCATCGAGCTCTGTCAAGGTGTTACCTCTGCTGTCATCTATGATCCAACTCTTAGAATTGAAGGTATCTGTAAGTTGTTTAACTTCTTCTTCAAAAATCTTTTGTTTGCGTTTTGTCTCTCCATTTCATCACATAGATTGTTGATGTATTGGTATCTGTCTCTCCGGGTGGAATTTTGAACTTCAGCATGCAGCTGGTTGTAACGATTCAGGCTACTGACAGTCATAAGACCTTCCCTTTTAAGCATCTTCCTCTCCTCAATTAACTGCCACGACTCTTTGCTTATTCACTCTTCCTTTTTGGTCACTATTTTAAAAAGGTCTCTACTCTCTTTCACGTTATGGAATATAAGTTTCTTGAGAGAAGTCCATTCACCTTCGCCAGAGTCGAAAGGATCCCATTCTATTGACTTGATCTTTATGTCAATGGTTTTGTGAAAAAGGTCTAGAGCCGGTTTATTAAGCACAAGGGTCTTTTAGTGTTTCGGTCGAGTACTTTTTAAGCGAAGTCTAAAATCAGCCATTAGAATTTGATGATCGCTGCCGCAATCAGCGCCAGGGAGAGTTTTGGCATTAGTGACTGAAGATCATCGCCATCTGTATTTTATTGTTATAAAATCTATCTGGTTTCTATGGCCTTGAGGAGAAGTCCAGGTGTGTAATCTCCTTGGATGATTTTCGAACCAGGTGTTCATGATAGTAAATTGATTTTCCACGCAATATTGAAGAAATTTTTCACCTCTATCATTTCGGATGCCTAGACCATAGTCACCTACGGTTGTGCCTCTGAGTGGATCTCCCCTAGCGCTTTCAATTTCAAATCGCCCCGCAGAATAGTTACCTCCTAGATGGTATAGTGTAAGTAGTAAGGAATCGAGATTGGCATAAAATTGGTCTGACACATTCTCATCTGACTGAGCGGTAGATGCATGTAGCTGAATTATATTAATTGGCACGGGCCTTGCATCAAACTTAATGGAGATCATTCTGTCGTTTGGGGTTATGTATCCCATGATACTGCTTTGTACCTTTTTTGGAACAATAAAGGCTACTCCATTACTACTGCTGTCTTTAGGACCTGTGTAGTACACAGTATTGCCATTACTTGTAGTGAAATGATCATTGCCTCGACGATGCACTTCACTGAGGTCAAAGATGTCAATATTGCACCTATCCATCTCTCTCTCTACAATTTCAAGCTTCCCTGGCTTTAGAAGCCCTCTAACATTCCAAGTCCCCATGCGAAGATGTTTACGAAATAGGGTTTTTGCAGTGCCTGTACCATGACCAGTAGAATTGTTTCCACTTCCTGTCTGGTTGTCCACAGTCGAGTGGCCGGTAGCATATTTCACACCAAGCAACCCGGAATCGCATTAGCGCCGAGGGTCAGTCGGCCGCATGACATCGTGACTCTATTCTGGATACTGTTCATGCGGTTTTCTTGGGAAAAATAGTGCACTAGTTTCCCGTTGCTTTCTGCACCAGACATTTTAGAGGTTATTTAAGCCTCAAGGCCGCTGAAGCCACTTCCGGTTGGTTATCCTCCCGGGTTTATGGTTATACCGCCATGGCACCGTCGCCAGAGCCTCGTCCGTTATCTAGCAGGGAGCACCTCGATGGTTGTGAGGCCATCGTCGTCGGCTATTCTAACGAACCACCGACGCGAGCAGGAGAGGTTGACATTTGGGCCAGTTCAGATGTTGTTACCCTTACCCCTTACTTCCTAACTTTATTTAATAAAATACGGCAATCTGGAATATCGAACACCGATGGCAACTCTGAAAAACTTAATGGTAGTTGGCAACACTTGTAATTAGTCATATGGTCATATGAGATGAGCCCGATGATTACTTCTTGTGACTATTTAATCTGTAATCAGTTGACTTTTACCATACAAAATCTATGACAATATTTCACAAATATTTAACATTCATAAAATCATTCTCTTCATTATTTCATTATAAAAGTTAGGCAAAAATAAACAACCAGAAGGGTTCATTGGCGTATTCATTGAAAACCGCCAAAAAAGAAAAGAAGAAGAAGAAGAAGAATATTTCACAAATATAGTTAGGTACATAACTACATACCTATTCATATTTATGTAGTGTAAGGGAAGCTGAAGCTTCCGATTTTCAGTATAAAGTGACTTGAATTGATTTATTGTCATAATGAGACATGAAAATGAAGGTAAGCATGTCTATTTTGTATGCATTTTCGTTTTAGCAACCAACTTGTTTTAAACATTTATTGTGAGTTTTTCACTTTTTCTTAATATTTTATTTTAGGTAATCAGAACGTCGACATGGAAAATGTTTGTGATTTGCTTGACAAAACTTTAATTAATCAGTTACATTTGATGGAAGATAAAATGCAGTGTGAACTTAATATTGAATCTAGTATTAACAATGGCAGTATTCATTTGGCTAAATCTAGATATATAATGGGACAGAGTTCAGTCAGTATGGCAAGATTACCAATGGAAAGCAGTCCAGAGTTTGCTGCATCTATTGTATGTGAAACAACGGAATTGGACAATATAAAGCAGTTTAAAGTAGTTGAGAATGAATCAGATAACACTGTAAATCCATTACATTGGTTTGGTGTATTAGTTCCTCAAAATTTGCATAAAGCTAAACATATATTTCAGAATACAATAAACTTTGTTGTTGAGTGTGCAAACATACAAATGCAATTACTTGAAAATATGAGAAATATGATGATATTAAAAGAATACAAAAAAACAATTTCATCATAGTTATTGTAATAAGCAATAACAATGGTAATTTTAAAATTATAACATTTTTATTTATTATGGATTTATTAAGTAATTTATTTCATTATATTACTTACACATTACTTTTATAATACCAAATGTGTGGCACATAACAAGGAAAATATAAAAAGTTTGTAAAGTTTTAATATTTTACTTATTAGGACAAATTTTATTTTTATTTTTTTGAAACAAACTTTTCACATATATTTCCAGAAGCAAAATGTACATCCATCATTATGAAATTGTTAAGCAAGTCCAAACATGGGTGTTGTTAAACCCTTACTCCAAATATTCTAAAAAATAGAATATTTAAATAATACATTTTTAAATTAGAATTTATTTTCTTCGACATGAAACTGATGTTATTTAGGTAAATTAATCAAATACAAAATGTACCTACTCATTTTTAATGTTAGCCTCATTTCTTTGTAATTTAATCACAGTCAGTTGTTTTTTTTTTACCAACCTGATAATAAAATCGCCCATGGATACAAAAGCTATGGAATTTAATAGTCATCTTTATTTTTACATCTGTGTCATGTATTCTGTTAAGGTAATTTATAACATAATAAATAATTGGAATTTAGTTTATTCTATTGTTACTTTTTATTTGTCACTTTCATATCCATCATTTTTAAATTTCGTTGTACATCTGTGTGAAGTTCATTTATAATAACTTGGAATTGTAAATGTCAAGAAGTTTTGTTTTGGTTGCCATGGTAATACTATGAAGTTGGTGTCCATGGTTGGTGTAGTGGTGTGTGATTTTTGTTTGTCCCAAACCCATCAAAAAAGTATAATAAATGTACATTCGCCAACTACTCTATTATTACCGCAGACACTCGATGTCTCTGCTTCTAAAATTTTTATTTGGCATAATAATATTATAGAATATTTTGTGAAAAATATGGAATTGAAATAAGGTACCCGGAACTGGAAAAACCGACGGAATTTCGTTCATATTTGAACCTTTATGAGAAACTAACTCCTTAAATTATCATATTATAAAATATCAAATTGAAAACCACAAAGTTTTTTGTAATATTTTCCGGGATCACATCTGTCCATTTTTTTCTTTGTCCATCCGCTGTTATGGGAAACTGAAATAATATAAGCTTTGATATATTTGTCAAGTATATAATCTACACATTTATTTTTAAATTAGTATACGTTACTTGCGCAAAGTCAGTGGCAGACCAGGTTTCAGATATATAAAAGTATTCTTTGGTGGCGGACTAAGCCTTTTTTTTTCCGTAGGAAAAATCCTTTATAGATCCCCTGCCACTGGATCGGGGAAGTGGCAGGGGTATGTGGGAGTCCCGGTGAGAAACGAGTACCCACTAAAAACACACACATTGCACATGTCTCTGTCCCATCGGCCGGAGACATGGGAACACGTGGTCGCAATCTTCCGCGACTCCGGCGCGACTATGGCCTTTTTAGGCCTCCCCTTCCGGTGCTGTGCCCATGCAATTGGCACAGCACACGTCACGAGCCCCATATTGAGCGACAGACAGCCCCATGTCTGCCGCTCAGGGTCTCACTATCATGGGGGGAAGGTTGCGCGCGTAGGCCAGCCTCCTGCGCCCTGGTGTCCGGAGGCGAGTATCCAGGAGTTGCTTCCTTTTCTCTCTCCGCGGCCTATAACGTCCTTGCAATATGCGAGAACAGCACCCCGCGCTCTCTCGCTGTCAACCATAGCGCGAACCGCGGCTGGCATAAAGAGGTCGTGCCCCACGATAGCGTATAGCTCTCGGCGCTGCTCCGTCCAGGCTGAGCGCTCCTCAAGTGCGTATTGGGCCATCTCCTCGGTACATACGTCACAGTGGTGGTATTCCGCTGTGGGCTCCCTCCTCGCCACGCGAAACAGGTACCTCCCGAAACAACCATGTGCCGTGTCGCCTGTCCAGCCACTTCCTGAGGACAGGACGTATGGCCTCTACGGTTATTAGGCAGGCACTGGGGTGCTCCAGCCTCTGCTCCCACTCCTCGATGGGGTTTGATCCCTGCGCTCCCCCAACTCCTCCGCGGCCAGTAAATGAACCCGGGCTTTTTCAGCCTCGCGCCAGGAGTGCAATGACGCGAGGATCTTAGCTTGCAGATCCCAGGGCAGAAAGCTGGCCAACAGGCAAGCCGCCTCACCGGAGATCGTCCGGTAGCCCCGTATGGCCCGAATAACTAGCACCCTCTGTGGTTTGCGCAAAAGCGGTTTTGTTCGGCGCTTCAGAGTGTCAGCCCAAACGGGAGCTCCGTACAGGGACCGCACGACTCCGGCGTATAGGCGACGACAGGAGTCGTTGGGGCCGCTAACGTTTGGGAGCAGTCTACCGCGAGCAGCGGACGAAGCCCTGCAGGGGCCCGGGGCGGCAAAGCTGAATGAGGCTCCAAGTTTAAAAATTTTACCTAATCTTAGGAGCTTTTTATTCACTTCACATTTTTATATAATATCTGTATTTATGTTTATTTAGTAAAAATATTGCAAGTAAAATTTTAATTCTAATATGGATATCGATGAGGAATTTTATCTGTGGTAGAGCCACGCAACGCAACAGTCTTCTCAATTGCACGAAAGCGCAGGTCGGTCCGGTAAGTACCACGACCTTGCAGAAGAGGTTAAGTGCACTTCTACGTTTCTTCTGGTGAATGAGGTAGCCGGAGCCCACTTTATGAAAAGGTGGCAACCCATCTGCAACCCCTCTGGTGTTACAAGTGGCTACGCTACGGCAAAATGAAACTGCGAGTACATTATTAATACATTATTATTATTGTTCTGTGTCCTCGTGAGACAGCGCCATCTTTTGATACTTTACCGAACTACAAGTTCAGATGTATATAGCTATACTTTTAACCATTTTCAGTTTTTAAATTTGTGAGCTGTATTCAACTAAGGTTGTATTTTCTGATAGCTTAAGAACCTTCTTCAGCCACATTGCATAACTATTCGTTTTCACCTACAGCTTTTTGATAATCTTTTTCAAGGCCTGTATGTTAGTCTTTAGCACTGAAATAAAAAGTTGCTCAACAATTATAACAGGCATTAAAAGAGATTTATTAAGGCAACTCATTCAATTACTGTTCAAAGTCTGGATTTTAGGTTTAAATTTATCACAAAGCCACATAATTAAGCTCATTTTAACGTACCTGGAGGACCGAGCTTTGCTCGGTTTATTTTTGGTAAATCATGTATTATGGAAATAAAAAAGTAAAGAAAGCAATGATCTGGAATAGAAAAAAATAAAGAAAGCAATGATCTGGAATAGAAAAAAATAAGTGTGTAAATGATCGTGGTACGAACAGCGGCCGTCTGTTTTGGGGCCGCCCGATTACCAACCGAGCTATTAAAAAATTTTTTTTGCGGCGAAATTTCATTCCCTGAAATCAGGGATAAAAGGACATTTTCTAAAAACGAAACCTAGCTAGATCGATTTTTCGCCCCCGAATCTACGCACATACTAAATGTCATGAATATCACTGGAGCCGTTTCCGAGATTCAGATTATATATACATGTGTATATACAAAAATTGCTCGTTTAAATGGTAAGATAGAGATTTTTTTTCTGTGGTTGACTATAACTTACATGTAAATAAAATAGTTTAACCTTTCTTGTTTGTTACAGCTTGTTGTTTTAAAGTATTACATTGAATTGCTGAACTTTTCACCGGTACAGTTGAATCAAATATGGAGTAGAATAATTAACAATTCACAGTTTTCTTTCAAATTAGTTATATTTGATTAATAAAATACGATTTTACACGTTAATTTTTAATACGTTTTTTTATAAAATTACTAGCTTACATAGCGCCATCTATCGGATACTTACTCAATCTACTATATTATACCGCCATCTGTTAGAATCTTATGGGATTGCTCTTTGTCATCTAATAAACAAATAATTTGCAATAACAGATATTGTGATCAATAATTGAGATAAAAGCTAAATTTAAACCCGATCGACCAAGTTAGACCAAATTACAAATGCTTACAAAATGTGATAAAAATTGGTTCAGTAGTTTTAGAGTTTATCGTGAACATGAATCGTGACACGAAATTTATACATATATATATGTATATATAGATTTAAACTTAAAAACATTTTTGTTTATAATTTAATGTCACCTTAGTTAAGAATTGTTTTGCATTTAAAACAACATTTGTTTTTGATGACTAAACGGAATGAGCAAGCTCCATACAATTATCATAACTAAGTATGGACTGATAAGACCGCGATAAAACTAATGGCCGGTTTCTGAAACACTGATCATCGAAGATGTAAACTAATCTTCTGTCAAATGGCTTTTCTTCAAATTTCATTTTAGTTGCCAAAAGGATCGTTAAACTCTAAATTGACCAGAATGATCTTCTTAATATCAGGATGATCAATTCAAAGAGTTTAACAATCTTTTTGGCAACTAAAATTAAATTTGAAAAGCCATTTCACAGCTGATTACTTGACATAAACGATGATCAGTGTTTCAGAAACCAAATAACCTTTCTACAGAATCCGCGAGTAAAACTCGCGAAATCAACATAAACTGATCTTGGAATGGGTTACAGTTTGCTTGGTTGTACTTTTTACTTCTGTGGGTACAAAATGTAGTTTTGCTTTAATATAGGTGTCTAAACCGCGGCACCTTGTAAAACAAGAAATCTTGTAGGTTTGTGTGTTACGCTAGTTGTATAAATACATATGATCTTTGCTACCCAGAAGTACCTGCATGGCAATTGAAGACATGAGTGAATGAAGGGGGTATAATACAATTTGTAAATGTTGAGAAAACGGGCATCAAAGTTTTGTTTCTTGTTCTTGAGATTAATCGTTTTTCTTTTTGATTATTTACAAACTATTTATATCAAATTATAGTAGTTATTGACACCTACTAATATGGAGTGGAAAAATAAGATTAAAATGTAAGAATATGTATTTATTGAAAAAAAAAATGTACATAACTCCTTCATTCATTTCTTGATAATAAAGAAGTTTCATACTTAATTTACGGATGAATGAATTAGCTACGTAATTAACGTAATAAAACCAAAAAAAATTACATGTGTGTCGGGTTAATCTGGACCTACAAAGTGTTCATAATTCCGGTTTCAAAAATTTTATCTGTTCTTTAATATTAGCTTTCTTTTCTTCAGAAATTGTACCATATTTTCTTTGTACCCGTTCAACTAAAAAGTCTTCTACTTGTCCTCTTTTTTTAATATATCCACTTTTCTAAAAGGCATGTTTTCA